CACGAGCATGGCTTTTCAGTCAATCTAGCATGGCAAAAAAGTCAACAATTACGAGTCACAGTCGAGAATAATTAATCAGTAAGAATTCCGGGGTCATTGTCCCTTAACTGTTTCTGGAAACGATGCATGCACGAATTAATAAATTTGATATAAAGGTACCCTCGTCAAGACCGGTCTCATCCAAATGTCGTAGCAATCAAAACTGCTGGCTACTGTGGCGGTGTAGCAATTCACGAGCGGGTTGTCTCCCTCCCACCTTACAGAGAATTAATGCGAGTGCGATGAGGAGAGAGACACCATTAAATGAATTGCTGGGTACGTGCAGTGTCCCTGATCCTTCTTACCTTCGTTAGATATCTAAATTAGCACTCGATGGCGCTGTGTTCGAACTCGTTTGGACCATAAACCTTATCACCATCGGTCCATTGTGAATCGTTTGATTGTAGACCTAAGGTTCGATGTTCATCAAATCTAGCATCTCCCCCGTTCAGTTTTCCTCCTGTGTTTGCATAATTTGAACTTTCAAATCCGTCATGATTCGATGCCCGACCGAGCTATAGACTGCCTATGATAACGACGTTGATATTGGGTTCAAGTTGTCTGCAAAAGGACCGAGAACTGACCTAGGGTTTAAGTTGCAGTATATTTGATCTGAATGTTTTTAAGTAGGTTCAATGCATGTCTGTTGTCTGGGAAGTAAAGAATCCCAAATTTTAACCGAGAGAAAATGATCAAAACCTTAAGCTAAATGCATATATCGTGAATTTCGTATGCTAACAATTTGAGCTTTCAGGGAAAAAAATTTCAGAGCATTACCCATGATTTTGAATTATGTCATTCTGGTCATTTTCATCATATGTCGTCCTTTTTATTTTGTCTGTTTTTTTTTACCTTATGTAGTCGTTTTGTCTAATGTGATTATACTCATGCTATCTATTTCCTAACAGAAATCTTTCATACCAAAGAACATAGTTTGCGAACCCCATTTCTTGAAAGTTCAAGCATTTCAAAAGAAAAAGAAATAGTTTATATAACAATATGATCGGTTCACGTAGTCTGGTCTTTATACTTCTTTTTAAGCCATGCATTGGAATTAATAGATTTCGCTTCCAAATCACTACCACTCAGAGTAACCATGATGTCCGACCAAAAAAAAAAAAAAAGGAGTAACCGTGAGGACTCTAGACCCGTCGATCCATGAGTACATCCTAACCCCTTTGAACCTGAATGAGGTTGCCTATGTGTATTCATGAAAAATAGTCAAATCGAAAGTTTCGAATACCCACATTATAAAAGAGAAAAAGAAAAACAAGTTCGAGAAGCGTGTGACTGTTATTAGTTGATTATGAGCTCTTACCTGGTGCGCAACTGACATATATCATATCAACAAAATAATGGAGTTGAAAATTATGGTCATTAGAGACTTAAGCATCCAAGTAAAGAGATGATACCGATACTTTTCTTCATGAGGATAAGTACATACATACATGTGTAGAGATACATCTATACATGCATATTGATGTCTTATGGCATTGCCACATGCACATATGCACAAAATACCTAAGGGGGGTCCAAGCAAAAAGCATGATGGAATTGGTAGGGTTATGAAATAATAGCTGGCTTTACCAATTATTGGATGAGGAAGAAAAAACAACAAAGACACCAAGCAGAGAGGAATTATATAGCTAAGAATGAGGTGTGCTCATGAGTCACCAAAGGATAACGAACCCCAGAAATTATTTTGCATGTTGGGTCTTCCCTAAAACACGAAGTTTTCTTGCTTCTCTTTTAGGGTTTCCGAGGCCACCATTGCTTTCTACTTGTGTGAGTTCGTAGCAACAATGTCACACGCAACTTGCCCATTTGATCCCTCATCTGTAGGGCCAAGCTTTGTGTTCGTAGATGTAAATTGAGAAATCGTCTTCACGTTCCGAGGAGTAAATGAATCTATCTGCGAATTAAAGATCACTCGAGTAAGTCTAAACTTGGATCGGAATCGACTGGACGCGATCACCGACGAAAAGTTAATTAAGATCAGATTCAAGAAAGTTCATTATGTAAGGGTAACGTGTTGTACCCTTCGAGTTGCTTAGCCCTAAGGAAGCCGAGAGAGATCGAACACGCAGGTTGCTTTCACTTAGGATTCTCCACACCTTTAGGCGTGCAATTGATTCGAAGGTAAAAGTAAAAGTTTAGGACCTTAGGACAACCCTTATTCATCTATGTGCCCAATTTGCTTAGCCAAATTGCATGAAAATGCGGAAGGCATCATGATAAGCATGATTGTGTTCTGCATTGTGACAAAACAACTCCAAAAAATCCCCGATCTCGTCGATCTTCAACAGGGACGGAAACAGTGGAAGCAGAAGAAAAGCAAAGTCTTATCCCCATGATTATACGAGAATAGCTTTTTAGAAAGCCTTTTTGGCAATGTTCACCCATTTGCTAGCTATTGGGTTATTTTACTAATGCATAATGTCATCATTAGGGGTGTCAAAACCAAACACTATACCTGAATCGGAACATGAACCGACCCGACCGATCCGAAATTTTGGGTATTTTCAGGCCGGGTCAACTTCATGTTCGGATATTAGTTAAGCAAATGGGTATCTCAATGGTTTCGGTTCGGTTCGTGTTTAGAACACGAACCGAACCGAAACACATATATTTTTATTTTTATGTTTTATTTTTAGAACCGAAACACATTTCACTTTGTAGCACTGTCGTTCAACTTCGTCCTCCTCCAGAACGTGAAATCGCCCGCCGTCGTCAACTTCGTCCTCCTCGGCGACTCTACCTCCGTCCTCCTCATCTACTCTGCCGCCATCATCCGGTCCAAAGAGCTCACGAGTCACCATAGTCCGTCTCGAAGTGGTGTCACTAGATCAACGATTCAACCGACAAAATTTCAAGTCTTCATCTGCATTTGTGTCTTTGGTAGATAACTTGATAAGTACATCAAGCAAAGATGCATACTTGCATCAAATCCGAAAACTATCAAGCAAATGACGAGACAGCATGATGTAATTCCTGGGCAAATCCATGACAGAATCGGTAAAAAGCATGATTTCGGAGCATCCTGACCCGCATTAAGTAGAAACCGAAACGTGAGAATGGAGACGAGAGGCAATCAGAATCCCCGAATTCAGAGGCAATCGAGGGCGACGAAATCCGGGGATACATGGGAAGCGTCAATTTAGATAAAACAAACAATAAGCACCAACCTTCGAATCAATTGTAACATCGTCAAATATTAACTTGAACCCAAAAAGACCCGAAACCGGACCCGGCTCGGCCCGACCCGGTTTTTGCGTTTTGGGTCATGTTCGGTTCGGGTCAAGAGTCCACATATCTTTTATGATTCGGGTCGAGTTGGGTAGCGTGGAGACTAGACCCAACCCGACCCATTGACAACCCTAGGTGTAACTTAACCTTAATTTATAATAAAAATCTAAAACACGAACCCGAACCGAATCGACCCGAACCGAACCGACCCGATCGTGCGGTTATATCATGTTCGGGTCTTGTTTCGGGTCGGGCCAAGCACATATATTCATTGTTTCGGGTCGGGTTGGGTATCATGAAAATCCGACCCGACCCGACCCATTGACACCCCTAGTCATCATCACTACATTTCCTGTCCATAACTATTTCATTTTGTGTATATTTCAGAAATTTCTTCGGTAATCACTTGAAATTATGACAGTGAAGACCTTTTTAAATTTGCCATCATCTGCAAAATCTAGGAGCATAATGGCCTAACATGCGTTTACTTTCCATGGTCCTAAAACAAATGGTATTTGGACTTAATTAGTGAAAAATTTATAGAAAAAAAATACTTAATTGAGGAAATGATTGGAGTAGCAATCTTTTAGTCATGGTCCAACAAGATCCTAATTTCATGCTAATACGGGAAACCAAATACTTTCGTGTGAAAAGAAGCTGTAGGCTCGGCTTGTACATTATCACTTTGATTAAAGTCAAATTGTTCATTTTTAAAAAAGGGATAAGCGAATTAAAAGTCCTAAAACTTGTCATGAAAGTGCAATTGAATCCTAAAACTTTCAAAAAGTGCAATTAAGTCCTCAAACTTGTCATGAAAGTGCAATCAAGTCCTAAAACTTTTAAAAAGTGCAATCAGGTACTAAAACTTGTTGCAAAAGTGTAATTGAGTCCTAAAAATTTTAAAAAGTGCAATCAAAAGAAGAACTTAATTGGACTAACTTAACAAGTTTTAGGACTTGATTGCACTTTTTGAAATTTTTTGGACTCAATTGCACTTTGTGACAAGTTTTAGGACTTAATTGTACTTTTTGAGAGTTTTAGGATTCGATTGCACTTTGATGATAAATTTTAGGACTTTCAAAGCACTTATCCCTTTAAAAAATGAAATTGCCCCCTCACGAGGAGGAGAATAAATACCCTCTACGTTTTTTTCAAAATCGAATATTGAGGGAGCAAATATTGACCAGACCGGGGAGAACGATAGCCGTAAGATCCACGTACATCGCAAGATCCAAAGGCCACCGTTGATCCGTTCCCATGGATTCCAGGCAAGAACTTCTCTGCCATACAATGCCTTGCCGATCAACTACAACCCATGTGGGGTCCGACCCACATGGAGTTATGCACCAACTTAAACCCGTATTCGATCCGACGGCCCCGATCCATCCTCGAGGAATCGATCGACGAATCCCCGCCGTTGGGTCCGGGGCAACCGTGGCGTTTTTTCTTAATAAAAGAGTGGTTGGGAATTTGTCCCTGCCTTGTCCCATGTTACATTGACAAATTGCCTTTATTTTGCTGTTCTTGGGACAAACTCACCTGCCCATGTCCAGATTTGGGCCTAAAATTATTCTCCCCACAATAATAAAGGGAATCCGAATATGAGCCATATAAAAAAATATATTAAAAATCAATTTGATAACTTTGCCAATTAAATGTGATAATTTAATATTGTGTCTCTTTGATCAACACATCCCTTCTATAAAAACATACCCTTGGCCTTAGGTAACCACTGGCCTAACACAAGTTTTCCTCTCATCCTAGAACAAGTACAATCACAATCAACCAAAGAGAAGGAGAAGAGAAAGAAATTAGAAGTGAGATTGAATTGATTTGAGCGTTGAGCAATCAAAGATCTTGCGAGCTTTGAGAGTGAATCAAGTTGTGAGGGAAAGAAGAAAGTAAGATATGGCAGCTCAAGGAGAGGATCTGAACCTCGAAGCGACGGAGCTCAGATTAGGACTGCCCGGCACGGTGGAGTCGGAGAAGCAGCAAGCACCTCCGAGCGGGCGGAGCATGAAGAGGAATTTAATCGATGTGAACAACAAGTGCGGGTCCGATAAGGAGGAGTCCAATGGGTCGAGTGCCCAAAAATGCGAGAAGCAAGATGTGCATCGACCATCTAAGTAAGCGGAAACAAATTCTCATTTTTTTCACTTCAGCAAAGAGAATTAAATTCCCATCGAATATGATTGAACCCGATCTAACGGTTTTATGGATGTTCTTTCTAATGCAGGGCACAAGTTGTGGGGTGGCCGCCGGTCCGATCATACCGCAAGAACTGCTTCCAAAAGAAGGCGGAGAGCGAGTCGACCGGGGTTTTCATCAAAGTGAGCATGGATGGAGCTCCATATCTGAGGAAGATTGATCTGAAGCTCTACAAGGGTTATGCAGATCTACTCAAGGACTTGCAAGACATGTTCAAGTTCAAAGTTGGTGAGTGTCAATAAGCTGTCAACAGTGATTCCAATTGATTGTAATTACTGAAACATAAGCAACTTGGGTGCTAATTGCTTGGCCTTTTGCATATTTTGTGCAGTTGAGTATTGTGAGAGAGAAGGATACAATGGATCCCAGTTTGTACCCACCTATGAAGACAAAGATGGTGATTGGATGCTAGTAGGAGATGTTCCATGGAAGTAAGTTTTCGTTTTTTTTACCTTGCCCATTGTCCTTTTTCTTCAATTAATTACCTCCCTTACTTTTTCTCTGTAATTAATAATTTTTTTGTACCATTGCAGCATGTTTATTACTTCATGCAAGAGGCTCAGAATCATGAAAGGTTCATCAGAAGTGTCAAAGGGCTTGAAAACTTGATGGGCATGGCCTTGCTTCTTTCAGCAAGAGGATGTTCCAAAGGCTTGGGCTTTCGAAGATTTGAATCTGTGATCATGATTTTAGTTTCATGCCTCTCTCAAATGTAACAAGGAAAACAGGGGAAAAAAAGTTGAAAATGGTTTTTCCTTTCTCTTTTTCACTTATATGTGTAGTTGAGTATACTTCCTTTGGTTCATTGTACAGAGACAAAAATAAAATAAAAGACTCTGCTTCTGTTTTTCCCTTAATAATTAGAAGCAAGAGGTTTGAAATACACAGATCTTGTACGTTGCGATAATTTCAACCATCAATTCCATCATTCTTTCTCAAGAAAATGTTCTCACGAAATCCGGCGTCCTGTCCATGGCGGGCTATGGTTTCGGAACATCGACTAATCCAGGGGTTTGGTCTTATTTTCTTCTCTCACGGAATGGGATGAACCAGAATTCCAAATTAGATATCGGCCCTGAAGTTTAGCTTAACATTAGAGACATAATCTATGGCTAATTTATCGATCCAACTACCTTAGCGAACAACTACAATGACCATGTGTTCGTTACTATCTAAGCAAATCTGAATCTATATGTACCAGAGTAATTGTCTTAATTTCATCTTATAGTTCCCCATATGCAGTTGCCATCCTGAGCTTGATCTGCATTAGCTAACTCTAAGCCTACCAAAGAATAAGAGAAACAATCTAACAATAGCTCATCAAATTCTCAACTACCATTAAATTTTGGTCCTGAAGTTTGGTTAAAAAATGAGTTCAGTCTGATTTGCCGTGTCATGAACTGAGTACACGATATAATTCTGGTGAAAACACAAAGCGACGCAGTCGTCGGTATCGAAACTTGGTTGGAGAGTGCTGATATATTTTCTTTTTGTTAAGCAGGAAAAAAACAAACTAAAGTTTGCCAGTTTATGTGATGAAAGCCTGTGAATGTAGTAGCATGGACATGGATGTGGCTTTGATGAAGATGACAGGCATAGTCTTTAAAATTTTTATGGGCTTTACGATGTTAAAAAGTTTGAAACTTCTGGTTTATGGCATGTGTATCCACTGTTTAGGCCCATAGCTTGGCAGCTCAAAGCCCTGCAAGATTCGGCCTGGTGTGCTGTTTGTGCATGATGATGATAGAGCACGAAATCAAAATGAGCTACCGAGTACTGAGTTGATTAACCACTAAATCTTCTCCACCTTGCACAAAAGATCATCTCCACATAAATCATAGATATATCCATCCATTCCTTTTATTTGGCCCTACATAAGCACTACCAAAGAGGGGAAAGATAAAATAATTAAAAAGAAGTGAGGGAAGTTGCCAATCCCACCACGCAAAAGATTTCTGGTCATCAACCACTCAATTCAAACCCCACCACTTTGCATCAGAAGATAGGAATTAATAAGCTGAATTTTGCAAAAAAGTTGCTTTTGACTTTTCCTTGGATGAATTGAAAAGAACATGAAACTGATGCAATTTTTAGGCTGTGATTAAGGGATAGGAACCACAAGTTCACACCCATTTTAAGACGGTGACAGTAAACTATGAACATTAGGCACTAAGCAACTTGGTTGAAAAGGAGCTACATTGACTTGGAAATGATCTCAAACCGGTCGGACCTGAGGAACCGAGGCGTTGTTGCAGCTATGATGTCGCCTGGCATGTGTTCAGGGTGCTTCAGGAAGGGGTGCTGGATTCGGGCTTGATGGACCGGGACATGTCTGGTTGGCCCGTGCGGAAGATTGCGGAGGCGAGTGAAATGGGCATGATGCAGAGCGCCTTGGACTGGAGGAACTGCATAGCAGCCCCGACATCTTCTTCCATCAGCTTTGCCACTTGCTGCTCTGTACCATCCGTCAACCACTTCTCCCACGCCGGTTGATTGTTCCCACCTTCGATGATCTCGCCCTTAAATTTTGGAAGGCAAAACAATAGATCACATGAAAAGGAAGCAGATAAAAGTTAAGATCATCGTAATGCTAAGCAAATGCATAGAAAATAAGATCATTGGACATCAAATGACCAAGACATGGCAAATCCATCAAGCCACTAAAAATAGAACAAATATGTTCAGATCAAATGCTAATTGCTGTTTCCTTTTGGTAACTACCTCAGCTGATGAGAGGGGTACATCAGATACAAGTTGAGCCACGGCACCAGTGCCGCCCAATCTACTCATGCTTAGGACCTGTTTGAAACAGTAGGGAAATAACCATGGCAATTAAGATGATCATAACTTAGAATGTCAATAAAATTGAGTTAAATATGCTAATTCAAGGTAAATATAGCTCCCAACATAAGATAGGAAATAACACCTATCTGCTGTCGAAGTTTAACATATTCCTTGCCCGAAAGCGTATTCAATCCGGTCCTAGATATTCCTCAGAAAATATCACTTCGATTTGACGTGGTAACTACTTCACATAGAAATGGCATAAAGAGGTTTCCTGGTGCCAAGATATTCAACAAGATGGGCCTACTAAACTTTTGGTCTTCAATCAAAAGATACAGCTATACAACTAGTAGCAATTTGGCTCAATAATGGCGCTCCATAAGACTTTGAACTAATCCCATCGCAATGTGTTCAGGAACTGGAAGAGACGCACATGATTTTACCAGAAAAAGTCTCATCGACAGCGATACTGGTGTCAGGGATATGGACCGGTCCCGGACACACTTGATTATCACATTATTACAGCATAATAATTCCTTTGTAGATCCTAAATATAAGTACCTTGACTTGGAGTCTTAAGAACTTCACATAATCCACGATTTCATCAAGCATGGCTGCTCTATCCGTCTGCGCACAGAGATTCAAGCATACATTATAGCAGAAGCAGAACCTTGTACTCGTCATAATACTATTAAGTTTCTTTTCTATTATCAAGCCAGACAAATGCAGTCCTTAGGGCACTATACTCGGGTCGAGCGGAGCCTCGTACATAAATCCAAATTTGACTGCTTCTCATTCATAGAATAACAGTTTTCACATCATAATAAGAGATCGGAGAGATAACGACCTTGTTGCAACTGGGAACCAACTCCTGCAATGCCTTCATTCTTTCGTTAATTCTTTCTCGGCGCAACTGCATCCGAAAGACAAAGCAAAGAGATGGAGAGGCATTACCTCTGTCACAGATTTGCTGAATAATGCTGATAGTCCATTATATTATCAATATCGATATTGATATGCAGAACCAATTTTATAGGTGACTAAAATAGTAACTCTGCTTCTTTTTAGTGCTAACTAGACACTGGATTAAGAATCAATGCTAGAGCAAACTCGCTTCAGTTTGTTTTTAAAAAGTTCTTCTTTCAAACATGGGAATTTCCAAAAGGAACAACAAGTGTCAGGTTTACCCGCTCAGCGATGCTGTGAGGATCCGTGGCTTGCCCTCGTCTAGCTCGTGCCCTCGGGCGTATAGCCGGCGGGTTCGGTGACCCCGCTGTAGGCTGATTCAAGAAGGCCTGAATCAGATTTGGTACGACACATGCAATTAAACATCATAGGCAGGTTAAGGAGGGAATGAAAAACCCGAACTTCATCGGCGCAAGATATCACAAATGCATACCACGGGAAATTTTTTTTTGGCAGATTAGCCAAAATAAACTTAGCCCAACTAGTGCTGTTCATAAAATCTTAATCTCATTCCGAAGAGGTCCCTAGGCAAAGCTGGTGAGACTTATGGCGGGGATGATTTGGATCGAACATGGTCAAATTGCCACTGCGATTTCAATTCTCGCATGTAAATTCGGGTGTCGTTAAAGATTATTTGCGAATTTCATTTTTTCTGTCTTCCCTTGCTACTGGAGACCATCACAAAGTTTAATTTCGTTTCCACACCAGATGAGAGCAACCTCTGTCCAAAATTCTTCCCAGTGCTCAATAGTCAATATACCAAAAGCACAACCCAACAAGAAAGAAAGGGGAAAAAATAGAACCCAAAAGACAAGCCATGAGACAATCTATGACTATAGAAGAAGTCTGGGGGTATCCAAAAATGTCAAAGAAACGTACGCAATCTGTCCCGAAAATCATGCACAAAATCTGCCAGAATTCATACAAATTTAGGTCCCCTGCTGAATCGAATTGACCGGTGTCAATTATTTCTCGAGTGACCAAAAAGTCAGCCGTAATGAAAGGATTGGCTAGTCCTTTTTTTTTTGTTTCCCTTTTTTTGGCACTTTTTTTTTGCTTTCTCGAAGCAAAATACCACTTTGCATTTCTTCGAAATAATCGAAAATCAGGAGCTTAGACATAACGTCGCGGCTACGCAAAAATTACAATATACATATATTTATTTTGAAAATCAGGATCTTTATAAATATGGTCTTAAAAATTCCCTGTTGTGTTTGGAAATGAAATGCTGAAACTCTCTCTGTCTCTTCACGATTGACTAGTTTTTTGTGGTTCAAAAAATTTATAGATTAATTTTTTTCCCTTGCTCTCGAAATTTGTAAAAATAAATAAATGGGGTAAAACAAAAAAAAAAAAGGTGAGAAGCAAAACGAGCACGTCATGCTCACGCACGCATGAGGTCACGCTCGCATGTGCGAGGAGGCATTTCTCAGTCCCAGTTTTTTCGTGTCAACTCACACGAGTCACTTTCGCTCAAAGCACCAGGAAAATTTACAGACGCCCAAAAAAGGGCCAAAAAACAGAAAGAAAAAAAGAAGAAAAAAAAGGAAAGGCATCATGAACGCACAGTGAAGTTTACACACAGGTCAACGGAGCAGATACAAACACAAAGTGCAATCACAACCTTAATCTCTGCTAATACTGCAGAGACTAAAGAACTGGAAATTTCAGTGATTTTTTCTTGAATTCTTTTTTTTTTTTTTTTCATTTTGTGGAGAGTGATTAGATTTACTATATGGGCTGTTGAAATTGGAATTAAAATTAAAGAGAAGGGGAATTTTTGTACCGGGTGAAGCTGAGGAGGGGGTGGGTGGGGAGGAGGTGGCTGGACTGACTGAGCCTGCTGGAACTGTCCAAATGCTGGGAAGAAGCAGCTTGTCATGTTGTTGTGATGGACTCCTCCTGCTTCTCTCTCCATCTGCCAAGTTCCACCAGGGTCAAACCAAACCCCTCAAAATTTACATGACAAAAAGATTACTAAACATTCATCATCAGTTCAGCACCACCCAAACATTAAAAAAAGATGAAATTTTGACCATCCTGTCTTGACCCTTCTCCCTCCTCACTATTCTCTAATGAATTCACTTTGAAGCAGGAAGTTCTTGAGACATCTCAAGCCCAAAAAGGGATGGATTGCCAAGAGACCTTTTTTTTTTTTCTTTGGGAGCAGAGGGAAGTGGAGTGGAGTAGAGTTGGTGCCAGCAGCAAGTCCATTAGAATGAGGGAGAGAGAGAGAGGTGAGAATTGAGTGACATATAATTAAAAATTTGGAAAAGGAGAGAATGATGGGGACTTACATTAATGGCCGAAGTGGTGGAGGAAGCACTAGTGCTGTTCTCAACATCCTCACGCCTGAACAGTCCACCTTGTTCCAAATTCAGCCCCAGGGGCATCATCACCCCCATGCCCCTCAGCCCCCCGCCGCCGCCATCTTCGCCGCCGCCGCCGCCACGGCCGGAGCCGAGTTGCAAGACCATGGGCAAGGAGCCACCAGAGTAAGGTCCGGGTGGCACAGCCAAGATCTGCTCAAAGAACTCATCCCCTAGTCCTTCCTGTGGATTTGAGCCTGCCATAACTTCGATGATTATAAGCTCTCCCTCCCTCTCTCTGTCTCTCTCTCTCTCTCTACAGAAAAAGTGTCAACTAGAGATCAAAGTCTATGATGGGTCTTGCTCTATGTTGAAACCCCAACAAAAGTTGGCTTCTTTCTAAGTGGGAAAGATGCACAAACTAATAGCTAAACGGAGTGGCGGAGACAGAGAGAGGCTAAGGAAGGTTGGTGAGGGATGATCAATAAGTAAAGTAAGGTGTTCGAAAGGGGAACATATGAAATTATCGATGGGAGAGAATGTTAAGAAGAGAAGGGGAAGTGGAGGTGGGGGGTGTGATCATTGGGAAACCCAAAAAGGAGGGGAAGGTGGTGTTGGTGAACTGGGTGGCAGATCCGAAACCCGATGACCCGATAACGTGATTTGGGAATTCCGATGGAGTTTCATGGGTCTTGTGTTTCACAAGTTGGTCTTGTCTCTCGCAGTAGAGAGAGAGAAAGAAGAGGGAGAGAGAGGTCTGTCTGAAAACTCTTTCTTTATAGTGCTCAGGGGGTTTTGCTTTTGGTCTCTGATAAGTGAAGGTGCTTGTTTTTTTCTCTACGGGATATGGGGCTTCTCAAAGAAAGAGACTGACTAGGAAAAGATATGTGGTTTCGGTTTGCAAAAAAAATCACAAAATAATTCTAAACTATACTATTTGTGACATATTAATCCTAAATCATTTTTTATATAAAAAATTCAAAATTTATACATATGTGATACATTTACACTCCGTCAATATTTCAATTAAGCTAAGTAAATATCATGTCAACAATGTTTACTTTTTTTGCCATCAATGTAGATAGATTTTTAATGGTTTTCATTTATAGAACTTTAATGGAGGGTAGAGGTGAGCATGGTCCGAGTGGTGGACGATTTCTACCCTGGAATCAAAAACTACCAACTAAAAACCGATTCCAAAAAATTGGAATCAGGAACCACACGTTAGTTCTATAGATCCACTCGGGAACCGGTCCCCAATCCTAAAGATTCACAACCAGACTACGAATATGGTGATCAAGTATATTTCCTAAAATTATCTGCTAACAAAGGCTCAAGAAAGCACAAAATCACCTAGAGTCATAGCTAAAGCAAGAGCAAAAGGCAACGACAAGCTAAAAACTGACAAATCCCAAGCTAAACTTCAACATAATTGGAAACACCCTAGGTCAGAAATGGAATTCGCCAATAGCAGCAGAAAGAATGAGTATCCTTAAGTAGAATATTTCACTTGGTTGCTAGTATGCGACTCAGCAACGAAGTTAAAGGCGAGGCGAGAGCCTAACGTGAGATGTTGGAGACGGCTGGAGGCAAGGTAATTGCGAGTCTGCAGTGCAGCAACAGAGTTGAAGGTGTGGCTACGTGAGACTCTCATGGTGAGAGTGAGATGAGGCTAGGGTTTTTTCCTTTTATTATTTTGAGGACTGTGAGACGCAAATAAGACTATATGGTAAGTGGTAAAAGACAGGCAAAAAAGACTCACTTTCACTTAAAGTACACTAGAATTTTATGATATATATACCGGTTCGGTCTATGTGGACGGATGGGCAGTTTCATACCTGGAACCAGGAGCTGGACCGATATTCATCAGTTCCAATAAATTGTTACCGGGAACCACCGGTTTTGGGCTGGTCCGATCCGGTTCCGAGCGATTCCTGATTCCCTTGCTTACCCCTAACAGAGGGTGCATGTGTTACAAAAGTACAAGTTCAGGATAAAAAGTTTTGAGTAAATGTGTCATAGTGGCATATTTTAGGATTTTTAGAGACTTTTGCCCTTTCTGTTTACCATATTATTAGTGAGATTTTTACCATTTTTAGTGCACTATTTTGCCCGTACTATCTGTAATTACTATATTAAAAATCGAAGAATTCTTCATTAAATATTCTCAATAAGCACCTTAACAACACCTACATCATATCAGCAATTAGGAGTGATGTTATAAGGACATTGTAACGTTGCAAACGTCAACAAAGGAAACAGAAGTTATTAGGTGATAGAAGGTTGACGATTCTATGCTTCGACTCTTCGTACGCGAGTCTTTATATGACTGTTGACAATTTGGAAAAAGTGTTAGAAAAGTCATATTGTATTGGTATCAATTTAGTCTTAAATCTTTTGATCTAGAGCCATTTTAGTCCTTCTGATTAATTTTAGCCAGATATTATTGACATGGATTTTGAACGGCCCACATGGCACGGCTGGCACTAACGTTGACAATTTTTAATAATATTTTTTGATTTTTTTCTTTTTCTTTCCTTCTCTTTCTTCTTCCTCCACTCGGTCGCCAGTCCTCACCGACCAGCTAAAAGCAAGGGCCTGCGAGCCTCGCCCTCGCCAATGACAATGAGGGCTCCCCAAATCCGGCGAGATTGTGCCTCACCCAGTCCCTGGCGAGACTCGAGCCCTCGCCTGCTGTTGTGAGTGCAGCCTCGCACTGGGCTGGCAAGGCACGACCTTGCCGGCCTCGGTGAGGCTTGAATTTGGTGAGGGCAATCCTCCTTGAGGCCGGCGAGGCCCACCTAAGGAAAGAGGAAAAAAAGAGAAGAAAAAAAGTAAGAAATTTTTTTAAAAAATTCGCAAATTATTAAAATATTATTTAAAAATGTCCAGTCATACCATATAGGCCGGCGTCCACGTCAAAAATATCCAGCCAATATTAGGTGAAATGACTGAATTGGCTCTAGGTTAAAATATTTAAGACTAAATTGGTACAAATGTAATAAATTTTTTACTTTTGACACTTTTCCCCTTGACATTTTCGTAAGCAGAGGAAGCTCATCCACATCAGTACCTTACTCGACTGTAGGATAATGTTTCTTACGCTCAGGCAAGCTTATATTGCATATTTCCTTTGACATTGCCTCTGGAGATCAAGTTCTGCGGTTGATGAAGAACATGGCAAACGAAAAGGTTGAAAGTCATCGTGGAATCATATGAGGAGAGATTGATAATCCGCTGGACTTGATACACAGGAATTCATCTGCCTGCTTGAACTCAAATATGAATGAACTTACAAAGGGTAAAATTGCCAATTTAATTCTAAACCTATTGCATCAGATGTCAATTGGGTCCTGAACTTTCTAATTTTGGGATATGTGGTCTTAATTTTTTGTGCGGAATTCCAATGTAGTGGGTTGGTCCAATTGCCACACGGAAATCACTGACATAGCGCGAATAAACTTGTCGACGTAAGTGCGCCACATAAAATGGCCGGCGATGACGTCCACAATTTCCGACAATAATTGGACGAAAGGACTACATTAGAATTTCGAGTAAATGTTTAAGATTATTTTGGCAAAATTAAAAATTTTAGAACTGGATACAATGTATTTATGACTGATTGGGTATTCATCCCATCCACAAATATATTCACTATTGTAAAACAAAGTTATGAACTCATCAAAGCGGCTACATGCTGCTTCTGGTCTTGAACTTTACTTGCTTTGCCATTTTTCTCTTGTTTCATTGATTTAACATACTTTTAGCTTGTATGGAGAAGAACAGATGATGCTTTCAATATCATCCAAACAAGGATATGTTGCCCTGGGAGTGAACATGAGAATTTGACAGCTTTAAGCAAGAGTGTTCTTTTAACGCAGAGAATTTTGATAAATGATAGCAGAGTCGGAGCTAATTAAAATTTTCTATCCAATCTTTGCCCTGAAGTTGCATAAATTAATGGAGAAACCATGAATGAAAGCCTCAAACCAAATTCTGAGGCGGAAAAAATATTAAACAAAAGAACCACAAGCTAAGGACTGTTCATACTAGAAAACAGTTGCTTGAATTGTTGCAAGTGAGCATCAAATGAAAGCACGGATGATCACAAGAGCAGAAAACTAGAATCTTGCAATAACGTACCAGGTACTTGAGGAGCTGCTATCTATTACCATGAGAATGATAGACTGCCCGCATGATACTTCCTATGGGGACACAATAAGCATATATCCCGGTAGCAGACACTCAATACAAGAATGTTACACTACTAGCTAAAAAATTAAGAAGCCTACCCAACCAGTTGCACAATCCAATATCAATACAATTAGATGTTTTTGAAAACTTTTTTGCTGAAGTTTCTGAAATCCACAAGTGAATCTTGTCATTCAAATGTAACATGCAGACAAGCTGTACTTTTCATGGGCCAAGAGAAGTTACACCGACCAAGACTGGCTACTCACTCAGAACTAGATAAAAATTAAAACTTAATAAAGTACATCAACAAGTTGTTCAACATCTAAACTAGTGGTTCCTCGTACTAAGCAAGCATGACAATCTCACTCATGCAAGTGAATTTCTCATACACTAAATCTACATGAATCCTCAATAACTCATTGTTGCACCATACAGTATTTCGAAGAAAAAGTTCCAAACCAAATGACATTCTCCTCATCCATCTGCTCATGTACTCTCTTTTGAGCTTGATTCTACTTTTTTCTCCTCAGCCACTGCTTTCGGCTTGTCTACAAGGGGTTCTGTCAAAGACTCAGGTTCTTTCTTTAGCTCTGATTCAAATTCTTTAGCTGCCTGCAATAATTGCAGAACATGAGCATTATCATAGAGGCACAGCACCAGGACTGAAAACAGGTCAATTACAAGATTGGACAAATGATCTCATAATTGAATATGTTAAGGGCGAAGCTACCCGAAGAGAATAGAACTACTATACTGCATCACAACCATCTGATGCTTGTAGGCAAAGAAAGAACCTTCCTATGGTTTATTAAGGTTTTCAACAGCATCTCTCCCGCGAAAGAACTCCCAAATCTACTAACCGAGTTTCATCTGGTCTTGCGGGAGTCAGCAATTAGATTCAGTTAATTTCGCTCTTCGAACTTCCCTTTAACTTTCTTGGTGGAAACAAATTAAAAATGACAGATGTACATAAAGCAAAACCTCAGCCTATTCAAAGTACAACAACATTTCGCTTTGACATGTAAAAAGGAAGCGGTTCAAATAACCTTGTAATCCAGGAAAGCCACTAAAAGAAATGACCTTCTAGTCCTAGATACTTGAGTTCTCCAGCTCAAATCCTCATCTCGCCGCGTCAATGAAACTTTAAACCTCAGTGACAAAACTTCCGACATGAACCTCTCAAAACCAATCTAGACACCCACTGCAAGATCAACAATGGATTTCCCAGAAAACGCCTAATCAGATACCACCCATTCCAAAAATGAACCGTTGCTGTTGCTTAAAAACGTTGCCCGAAAGAGAGAGTCCTGAGAACACTCCAAGAACATCAAGACAATTACATAGGGATCTCTCAAGCGTGGTAATGATGATGCTCGTCCTAGATTAATTACAAAGCCACCATGTTTACCTTAACAATCAAATCCCTCGACAACATCCAAGATGCTCATGATATGATTATGCACAATTCTCAAACATCAAGCTGAAAAGACCATCTTCGCCAATTGAAACGAAAGCTCATCAATGAACTAACTCTAAAACAAAGCATCATTTCCAGAATACCCCTAAGGGGAAATAGAGCAAACACAAGGCGGGCTAGGAAGGCGAATCCAAAACTCGCCTGTTGGAAGCTCTTGACGGTCTTGCCGATGCTCTTCCCGACTTCCGGCAACTTCTTGGGCCCAAACACCAGAGCAGCGACGCCCGCAATCACAACGAGCTCGGGCACGCCGAGACCGAACAGGGCATTGCAAGTCAGGCCCCTCTTCGCCCCCTGATCTCTCCTCCGGCCCAAACCGATAGCTACCCAATTGCCGCCATGGCAACGCGAATTGAGGGTCTTGATGCTTCTGGCGAGAGGCGACGAAGAAGAAGAAGAAGAAGACGGGTTGATGAGGAAGGCGGAGGAGGAGGAAGAGAGTGGGAGCGAGGATGAAGGCGGTCTTGGGAGGGAAGAAGGGGAAGAAGCGAGAGGAAGCGACAGAGATGAGCAAATCTCCATGGTGGGTTTTCGCTTCGGATGCCAAAGAATGATGGGGTTGAGGCAAAATTTCTCCTTTCTTTCTTCTGGGTGATCTTTTGGTGGAGGAAGAAGATGGAACGCCGCCGGTACCTGCGAAGGAAGATGAAGATTGGGTGGGGCACGGGAGAGAAGTTTTTTGGGTTTTGTCGGCTCTGTGGGCGAAGAAAAAATGGCTGCTTTTGGAAAATTATTTTTCAGAAAAAAGAAAAAAAAATGGGATAAGCTAATTTCAACTGATAATTTGTATTTTATTAAATTTTCACCACGTCCAAATTTGTTAGTTTTCGATATTGGATAATAAACAATGATATTCATATATGTGTATATATATCTTAACCTATTATAAAAATGAATTCTGACTGATCTATTGAGACTGCACCTTTTATATTTTTCAAGAATTGCTAGTGGCAAAACTCATGTCACCGAACTTTCTATAAACGGTTCCGAACTCGTTCATTTCGAACTTTTAACCTAACCTTACCTCATTAGAATTTGATCATGTTGACAAATCCAATTTAGTAGGACAACGAAAATCGTAATTGCATTCTTGTGTTGACGCGAAAGCGGGAGAAAGCGAGCTTTCTTGCAGAGCATTTTTCATATTTATCAAAGATTTGCTGGTTGTAGAAAATGTTTTTTTTACTTCTGAACACTGCATATTGGTCATCTTCTGAAGCTTGCTTTTCAGTTGGGCGGATAATTCATTCAGAATCCACGAGTTTCGCTGACCTTGTCAAAAATGTGATTTGGAATCTTGCGAAGGGGCAAGTTTGAAATTCACAGGACTCTGCAACAATGCCAATTCAAAGACGTCTCACTTGCAGTCCAGTCACAACCTCAATCTTGTTCAATTGGGTTCTCAGTCAGGCAGGCAAAGCAGGAAAAAAAATGCTCATGACTCTCTTGAGAATGCGAAAAAAAAGGTCAATTTGCCGCAAAATCGCCATGTATTGGGGGGAAAAGGGGGAAAGTTTAATGAATCTATACCAACAGTTGAACAAAAACGATTAGCAAAACTGTATATTTGCACTTCGATTAATGAATTAGTAAATATCCACCAAATGATTGACCCTCTCGCTAGTCTATTGCTACTACTGTTCTCCGTCACACGGGGGGCCATGAGGACTCGAATCCCCACGAATGCGCTTCTGCAAATGCTCTAAACTGGCCACTCTCTGCATTAAGGCCGTTCTTCCCATCTTGCCGGTTCCATTCGGCTGCGCATTTTCCTTGCCCGCTCCACTCTGCTGCGCATTTTTGGCCGCGGGAATATCCACCAACCCATTGTTGACTCTCATATCCTTAGCAGATGACGCAGGGTTACCAGACTTGGGTTGATAGAATTGGTGCTTGGAGTCATCTCGCACAGGAACCGCAGCGTCCGCCGATGTATCGGAAGGACTCCCATCAAACAGTGGCACACCCACAGGAGACATCTCGGACATTCCATGGAACATTGGGTTCAGTCCGGTTAGTCTTTTAACTGTCTCCTCAGCCATCTTCACCTGGAGATATCAAACCACAGTTCTATATAATTAGGTAACTTTCCCATTGAGATCAAGACCATTTTCTCCGTTTTACGTTTGTACTCTTTTAGTCTCGAAGCAATAAAAAACAGATTCGTTAGTCACAACTATACATGCACAAACAACTTCCTCAAAGGGAAAGCAGTTCAATACTGGGCCAACAGCAGAAGCGCGAATTTATTAAAGAAAAGAAAAAGGAAGGGACCACCAATAAAGAACCTTACCTTTGCTCTCAAGGTTTCAACGTCAGCTTTCAAAACTCTGTTGTCAACAGCCGCTACATTGTAGTTCTGGCTTATGTCCGAGAGACGTTTCAGTAAAGTAGAATTCTCAGCTCTTAATTGAGCAACCTAATTTGAGGTGGAAAAGAATTAGGAAGCAATCATGGATATACATAAGTTGTTATGAAGAATTCTTGTGAAAGAACATATTGTCGCAATAGTTGAACCTGTGTCTCGAGCTCAGTCAAATGAGCTTGTTTTCTTCTTCTCGAGCGTCTGGCAGACTCTCGGTTGGAAAGCATCCTAAAAAGCACATATGAATGAAACAGAAGAAAAATATGGATGCTGAAACCAAAAGGATATCCGAAGCATTTTTAAGCAAACCCATTACAAAAAGACATACCACACAAAAGTATAGTCTTATTTTGGTTTCAGATGCATCATATACATAATCCCGTTCAGATGCTGCCACTGAATGCTTATGACTAGAAAACCCACAAATGGATCGCCCCCAAGTATTCAAGAAGCAGGTTCAATCTCTCTAGTTACAGTTTTGAGGATTAAGCATATCAAGCCAAAATAATGCCCTTATTAAGATAAACAGGACCATTGTGTATGATATGCCTCTTGGAAAAAATCATAACAGAATTTGGACCTACTGATGAAAGCACACTGTTAGACTCAATATCGATGAAAAAGTGAATACTCAATTGCTTGGGACACTGTCAATACTGCAAATAGCACTTGCCATCTTCTTCAGTACACTGAGAATGATGGAAGCAGAGTTCAAACAAAAGAAAAAAGATTATGGTATTAAAAGCTACCACAAGAGCTAAATGTGCAATAGTACCTCCTCACACGCTTTGCATCAGCAGGAGCCAAATGGTCAGTAGTTGCAGTTTCTCCAACTTCATCATCGTCTGATAGGTCTCTTGAAGATCCACTTGTTGTCGACCTCACAGGAATCCCAGATTTCTTTGGCATGGCTGGTAAGGAAGGTATCCCAACTAATCCGCCAGCACCCTCATCTTGTGACTTGGACAAATCAGGCCCAACTCCTATAAAGGGAAAATTAGCATAAAAATGAAGGTATGCTGTGTCTATGCTTCCACTAGCAGACTCATCTCAAGTTCAGAGATACTTCAGAATGAGTGCCCACATCTTGTTTTTTCCCCCAAGAAAAATAAAGGCAGGAAAGCATGAGCATATTCAAATGTTTTTCATACATCCCATTGCCAAAAAAATGGTATAAATCATTTAACCTATTGTAGCTGCTCCAAAGAGTCTTGCACTGGAAAACAAGAACTATTTTTGCATAAGAATCAGGCATATCTGCTTTAGATGCACAACTCCCACAAAGATGCCCTACTCATAGAAAATTTTTACGTGCCACGACTTATAATGCCCTGCCTAGAAGCATAGCTTATAATGCTCTGCCTAGATGCGTAGCCATGCTTGTTCCCCAGCAAACCAGGGAAAAACCCCAATTCTAGAGCCAATCCTTGGGAAATGATGAAGGAAAAGAAATCAATGAACAGTCCGTGATTTAAGCATCACATGCTAGAGCGCATGTTGCCTTCCATTGCATACCGAAGATTCCTCCCGACTGATATTCCCGCATCTGCGATGTAGAGAAGAGGGATGACCCAAAACGAAACAGAAAGAAGGAGTTGCCCAGCAACATGCCATCCAGGACAAAGATTAAGCACAATTTTCAGGATACAGCATCTTTCCCTTATTGATTGAAGAAGTGGCTCTGAACGAGAGAGGTCATACGTGCATAGCAGTTTCATATCATTGTAGAGAATTGGCGCATTATTGATTGACAAACCTTTCGAGGGAGCTTGAGATCCCAGTTGTGCCTTCGAAGCCTGAGAGTTGTCAGATTGAGTTCCAGAATCTTGATTTACGACAAATGGTGCCTATTAGCAAATTAAGAACTGAATTTAGCACAAGGAACTCGAAAAGACAAAACAGGCTCATGATAACTAATGCAATAATCATGTACTGGGAAGAAGATGAAAACATTCCCACAGTATTCAAATTTAAAGGATGGTCAATTTCTTTTTACCAAACTTTGTTAATATCATCCTTCTCACAGGGCTCAAACGTTCAATCACATCCAAAGTCATTACTTAAAAAGTTCACAGAGATGTCGCTTTTATCCTTACAAAGGAAACTACATGCTTCTGGTAATTCATTTTAGCAACTTAAAGGCCTTCTAAGAGTCTATATCAGCTCCTTCAACAGGGTTCCTGTCTTTCTACTCTTCAAACTACTCACCAGGCCTAACTGGATTCTTTCCCTCTTTTTTGTCCAAGGATATAACATTTGCCAGAAAATATTGCTTTACATTCAAACTAGCTAGCATCTCTAGACACCCGTCATCAGAATCTCTTGCCTCGAATTGTCCTTAAAAGACAACACATATACACAACCCATATATGAGGCAACCACCCATGAAGAGTTGATTCAATCTGGGCATCGAGCAATCACAAAATCCATCCAAATTCACATAGAGAAAGCACGACAAGAAAATGGAGATTAAGTTCCACCAACAGCACCCGAACTCTATGACTCATGGATTTTGCAAGGAAATAAGAAACTCATGGAATTGACCAAAAATGAGCTGATTTCAAGAACTTAACCATTTTCTTGTAACACCGCACAGCCAAGCCCAACCAGAGAAAAGGGTATACTTATAATTTAGATAAAGGAGCTGACTTTGCAGTCCAATGAACACACCCATCGATGAAAATGATAAAACGAAAATTCTCAGTTTTTTTTCTTGTCAAGAAAACATTACCTTTCACCGATGACCCCATAGAAAAAGATAAAAATTAAAACTTTACCTTCCACCACTTTCTCGAAATCAAAGGGATAGCAAAAACAAGCGCTCGCGCATGCCTATACAGACACGAGCATTTGCTTTCTCGCCCACGCATCGAGAGAGACAGACAGAGACAGAGAGAGCGCGTACCCGAGACATAGCAACAGCAGCGCAAGCCAAGTTGAGCTTGCTCTTGAGGAAAGCCTGGTACTCCTCGGAGTTCGTCGGCGGCGCCGCCCCGTTGAACGGCGGAGCAATGCCATCGACGCACGGGGCCGACGGCGCCGGCGGGGGCCCTGTACCGACCTCGCTCGCGTTCTTACTCGCCGCATTCGGATTGGGCGGCTGCTTCCGGATCGGGTCCGGAACCCGGTTCCGATCCGGGCGCACGCCCCCCTTGATCTCGACCACGTCGCCCTCCTCGCCGCCGCCGGCGGAGGACGCGGCGGGGGTGACGGAGGCCTCCTGGAGGTAGCGCTGGAACGCCCACTCGGACTCGCTCCGGTTCATCATCCTCCTGGACGGCGGCGACGGCTCGCCCGCCTCGGACCGGCACGATGACGACGGCCTCACCGCGGCCGGCGGCGGCGGCGGCGGCGACGACGACCAGAACTGGCCGGAGATATCATCCACCGAGAACGCCCTATCCATTCTCTCTCTCTCTCTCTCTCCGCTGCGTTTCTTTTTGGTTTTTCGATTATTTTTTTTTGGGGAGGTTTTGGATAATGCTGTGGTGAGGTGTTCGCGTTGGCTTTTTAAGGTAACCCCGGGGGCATTTCGGTCATTTCATGAAATTCGAAGATTTTTTTTTTTATTTTTGGGGTGGTGGGTATGAATTTTTCTTTTGTGATTTTTTTTTTGTTCTCTCCAATTGAGAGCGAATGGTAACATTTCACACCAAGTGGGGGTGGGGGGGAAGATATTCAAAATTGAATGTGTTGCTTTTGTTCGGAGGACAACAAACGAGGTTGAGCGGACATGAAGATAGGCATGGAATCGGATTGGATTGGGATTGGGATTGAAATGCTAAGTCTTGCCAATTATACTTTGCAAGCGGGAGGGGATTTAGATATTTTTCGATTCGTGATATTCCGATTCATGTTGGGTGGAAAGATTTTCTTTTTCGAAGGTCTGATGATTTGGGATCGGATAAGCAAATGGGGTCCGATCCGTGAATCTTTTTCTTTTTTAATTGCGATTGTCGAAACCAGGAAGTCGGGATACGGAGCAGAGTTACCGAAATTACTCGGAAATCGAAAAATTTATTAAGTTACCAGAATGATGGATTTCTTAACGACTTGTGGATTTGTTCGTAATCATTTTATCTTTTACGAGCTCCCCCGACGACAAAATACTGTCGAAATGGGTTGAAGGGGGAACATAAAAAGGCAAGGGGAATCATGGTTATCCTTAAAAGGATGAAAGGTGATAATGACCCAAAGTAAGGGAAATTGACTTGTGGATTGAGGAGGCAAGCTTTGATTCAAACACTAATGTTTGGTCGATGTCGGGTCCAATAATGGCAAAATGGATAAGTCCCAGTCACCTGTCCAGTCCACGTAGGAAAACCAAACGTACCACAAGAGCCACACAAATTGATCTTATATATATATATTTGATATTATGAATCTGAGCAGAATCCGCATGTATCTGAGTTTTTCTCGTACAAATTTAAGACGTCGATTGTATAGATCGGTCATTATTCTCGCGGTTACTTTTTATCGGTTCGATAGGTTCCGATTAAAGGATTAAAAGCAGTTAAAGAATCCCGAGATGAGCACCCGTGACACATTTACCTCTAATTTCCCGACTCGAATGATATCTTAAATCGGGCAAACCTCAATCCAAATCTACCCTCCTCCGTTAGCATTCCGTCCAAAAAAACCTATCAAGTTGCGTAGATGTTAAATACACACGACAGACAACCATGAGATAGATCTGACATGGAAAGATTTCGCACGTGTGGACACATATGTAATGTAATGGAGGATAGGTTCGGGTCAAGGTACCCAATTGGAGAAGGAGGTGGGGGGGGGGAGGGGCGCCAGTTGGGCAAGATCTTTTCAGTTGTATAGATCCAAAAAACAGGGCCTTTGCCTTTCTCTAGGGGAGGGACACGTGTACGGACGTGATTGCACCGGATGGGCGGTTGGATAGGAAGGGTGGAGTTTTCAGAAGGAAGTAGTGGTAGCTCCCATTGGGCGGCTCTCCCGGACATTGCGGCGGCGGCGGCGGCTCCGGCGGCTCGGCTCAGAAAAAACTCGATTTTATTTTATTTTATTATTTCTTCAGGGCGTGGAAAAAAAAAATTTTGGAGTTTCGATTTATTTATTTATAGTTTGTGGATAAATGCCGGGGGGAATCCCGGTGGGGCCCACGGACACGTCATTAAAAAGAAGGCTGATGTCCGTTTTGTACGTCTGCGTTTTTCCTTCCTAACAAAAAAAAATCGATGGCCCTTAAATTTTGTTTATATTATATGTGTTTTTCTGGTTTTTCAAATTGTTAATTGTATTATATATTTGGGGGGGGGCTAGCATGGTTGATGAAATTTTGAAGATTATATTTTATCTACTTGTTTTGATTATGTGAACTAGTGGCTTATGGGTCCATTCGAACAATGTTCCGACCCCGAAAAAAAAAGAAAAAAAAACAACAATAATAATGTTTTCCATCTGATAGGGTTAGTGGCGAAATGATGGATTATGGGAAGACGGGGAAATTTTCCCAAGTGGAGCACGTACGGGCCAATCGATCGGTGGGAGGCGAGGGGACCACGCACCGATACACCGTAGTCCCCCCGCCCCCCACAAAAAAAAAAAGAAGGGGCTAGCGAGTGACCACCTTCGGAAAGGGAAAGAAAAGGAGAGAAATAGAAAACGAGTGAGATTCGGAGTGGTGAAGGTTCGTTTGGATCTTCTACCGCGAGAATTCCAAAGGATTCGAACCATTATTCTTTGATTTCCAACGGGATATTAACGCAGTCGTCGTGCAAAAATAAAGGGAAAAAAAATCGTTTTGCATCGCTTGTTGTTTTCAAGAACAAGAAGCTTAGTATAATTGGATCGAGTAAATACTTTAAAGTGGTCGTAAATATATTATCTAATCGCTTCATAAAAATTAGTTCGCTCGGGGATTACGATGATTCACGGCATAAAGTGGAAGAAGAAAAATCGCGAATCATTGAGGGCGGAATGACGGGATTAACTTAGCAGGATCGAATTCCATAGGAAAAAAATTGCCGCTCAAATAATTCATGAGGAACATGGTTGCCATGCGTTTTTATTTATTTATTTATTTTTTCTCGAAAATTCGTGCATGAGCAAAATAATATATCTCCACAATAACATAGAGAAAAAGGTTACATTAACTCTCTTTTTTTTTTTCCTATTTATTTATTTATTTTTATCCTTTTTTTTTTCTATTTATAATTTGAAGCCAAATTCATATGGTGGGGGAGGAATCTCATTGGACAATCCGAGTCAGCAACCGCCGTGCGCTGACGTGGATTGGCAATAAAATAAAACCCCCATCACTTAGCTGTGAGCTTATCTTCACATCCTAATCAATTGATTAAATTAATTAACTTAACCCCCCACCCCAATTAAGCTTGTGAATAAAAAAATATAACACGCTCAATCGAGATTCGAGGAGCGGGTCCGGCTCGTCCGAGTTGCTTCGCGTGTGCTCGATTCAAGAGAGCCGTCGTATCATGTGGATCCCATGTGAGGCCCGTTCAAATTGATGGCTAGTCTGGTCGAAGGAGAAGTTAGGAGTGTGGGCCACTTGGTACAGCGGTTCGCTTGAATCGAAGTTAGATGAATCGGGGATGACCCGAAAAGGTGAATCAAGACGTGGGGGTGTTAAATTGATGTTTTCTTCGCATGGTAAGTTCATTGTCAGCAGCACTCTAGCTGCGAAGGTCACAGTCGCACACTTAAAAAGAACCCCGCGATTCGATCCTTACGCGCCATAATATTCTTGAATTCAAACGTCAAGGATTCTCTGAGATTTTCGTGATCTCGCCGTCGACAATCTTCCGCCGGTCAGATTTGAAAAGAAGAGTCGATATCGTATATGAAAGTCGATTCCGGATTCCGGATATACCAATAGAATACACAAAAGGGATGTGGGGGCAAAACAAGCGGCTTGTATTCGTGCCTCTTGCATGCCATTCCAAGGTAAAAGTCCTCTCTCTTGCGGTCTGGATCAGCCACAACAGTCGGGAGATTCTTGCTGAATCCTGAACATGCAATGCCATTCAAACACAATGGAAACATTGGCAAAGAAAAGTCATGGAGATAATATGGAGGATAGATGTGGATGAGCTCTTAATATGGTTGCATATCTCCAATCTTCAATAAGTACGAAGCGCATACATAAATCTGGCGAAGCAAAGTTCAACAGAACGACGGGGGCGCGCCTGCAACCGACGCTTGACTAATGAGGATACAAACAAGCATATAATATCGCCGCCATAAGGCTACATAGAGATACCATATCGCGGTCGAACGAGCTCGCACGAGACAATACCACAGCCATTTCAAAGTAAAACTAACAGCTGGAGAGCCGCACCGGAGGGTGCGGCAATCATTCCTTCCCATCAGCAGCTCGGAGTGAACCGAGCTGAACAGGGGCTTGAGTTCCTACGACCTTAGATGAACCATAAATGGAGAGGTCCATCCCTTGAGCCTTTTCCTTCTCAATCTGTTCTTTGATCCAGAAGTATGTGAACCTCAAGCCATCCTACAAAATTAATGCATCCAATCAGTCATTCGGAGAGAAGAAGCGAACGAAGAGAAATCCTGGTCGCTCCAAGGGACGGGAATCGTTCTTTCAAGTAGCAATCAATGTACTTTTGTGTGTTGTAATTGGAAGCTATGAGTGGATTTAGTGGGAAAATCATTATCTCAACGTATAAGCATTGGCCTACCCTCAATCTCATGGTAGGAGCCCAACCAAGCTTCTCCTTGATAAGTGTGTTGTCCGAGTTGCGCCCACGGACACCCTCAGGACCAGGAATGTGATGAATGGGAAGCTTCTTATTCTCAAAACTAAGAACAATCTCAGCCATTTCATTCATGCTAACCATCTCATCACTTCCAATGTTCACTGGCTCACGGAAATATGACTTTGTCAATCTGACACATCCACAAGATAAGCAGTAAGTAATGAAGCTAAAAAAATCAAATACACGCAGGCAAGTAAAATATGTGAAATTATGGTTCATAAGTCTGGTAAAATGCAGCCAGGTAGAACTATCCATTTATTTTATATAATGACTCGAACCATATAAACTATTAAAGAAACAGACCCTTCCAAACATCAATTCTTTGCCAATTCTGCAAAGACATTAGAAGCTAGATCCGTATGGCTAAGAACTTGAAAAGGCAGGATTCGCAAGATACCTCGCGTTCACCGTTCCCGAGAATGTTACTAATACCAAAGATTTTGGTCCCTTAACTTGCTTCACCCTTACTCAGTAAAACATCCATGCACTTAATTTTAAATAATTTAACGAAATGAAAGCCGACACTGAAAAAATAATGTCAGGTCAATCTAATTCAAGACCTAACAGCCTTGGAAAGGAAAGAGAAGACATACGATCATTAAGCTAAATAGCCGTTGGGCTCACCTAAGAACACCTTCGACACACTCGTCAATGAAAGTAAAAGATCGAGTCTGAAGCCCATCTCCCCACATTTCGAACTTGTCAATGGAAGTGATGGCCTTCCTGCAAAAAGCAGCCGGAGCCTTCTCCCTTCCCCCTAGATAATATAAACATCCACGCCACATCTTTAATAAAATGCAAAAATTAGGAAATTATGCAATGAATCTGATAACTGCAACTAAAAAAGTCTTACCTTTCCATGTCCCGAAAGGACCATAAATGTTGTGGAACCTTCCAATGCGGCACTCAATTCCGAAATCTTTGGTGTAATGCTTGCACAATTCCTCGGTAGCGAGCTTCTCCAAGCCATAAGCATCTTGAGGCTGAAATTTACAATGCCAAAAATGATATGTGACTTCCCTTCCCAGTTATGTATCTAGCCCAAAAAGAATAAGGTCTCTGACAAAGTTTAACTTGAAAAGCAACAAACCTCAGCAGGCCACGCATCAGACTCTTTCAAGCTCACATTGGTCTCCAGTTGCTTAAATTCAGGATAAATACAAGCACTAGAAGCATAGAAAAACCTGCACAGGCACGAACATTAAACAGTTGAGATGATAGAGGCACTGAAGAAAGACGAAACAGGACATGTAATTGAAAAGGAGATTGCGAAATTTATCCAGGTCTGAGCACCTCTTTACTCCATTTATCCTAGCAGCCTCGAGCATGTTAAAGCTGATCATTGTGTTGTTGTACATAATGACAGAGTGATTGGACTGAATGAAGCCCATGCCACCCATATCAGCGGCAAGGTTAAAGACATGGTCAACCCCCTCCGTAACCTTCAAACAGTTATCCATGACTCTAAGGTCGACGAGATGGAATTCATGGCAGAACATGTCTTCGGTCATGTGCTCGTTCTTCTTCCAGTCCGAAGCAATAATGTAGTGGCCCTCGCTCTTCAAGCGCCGGGCAATGTGAGAGGCAATGAAACCGCCTGCACCAGTGATGGAGATTCTGAGTTTCTCCGATGGCCAGTAAGGCTCCCTTTCGAGATTTTCATACGTGAATGCGCCAAAGTCAGTTCCTTCAATGCTCCCCATCCTGCAGTTGGCAAGAGAGTGAGTCCCTCCATTCAGAAGGAAATATGAACAGCGGCAGGAAAGTAAATTCAAATAACAGTTGTCAAAGGTGGACTAATGCACAGAGTATATGCTAAATCGCTGATTGATTGATGCATGAATGTGAATCTCAAGGAAAACTCAAGCAGGATCATAATTTTTCAAAGTCTTTGGTGAAGAGACACCGGCCAAGACTATTGACAAGCATGCATAATGTCCTACTTACAAGTGAAGTGATATAGGACTTCCAAATGAGACGCATAATCAGCTATTGACAAGCATCCATGTAACACCCGTCAGAAGAACAAGAAACCACAAAAACGGAAAAAACATGGATGTTGAAACATGGAAAACAAACATTCCAAGCAATGCATGCGATGCAATTATATGAGACGCCGACGAAATCCCACTTTGAATTTTCCCGTTAAAACTTCTCACGGCATGAAATCTGAACAGAGGTATAACGATGAGGAATTCCTAGACATTCGTCCTGACAATGAACCAAAATCACACGAAATGAACAAAGCCGGAACAATAGATAGAGAGGCAAAAGACAACTAACTTCAAGTGAAAATACTACCCCGCATCACTCGAAAAAATGCAAATTTCACAAAATCACGGTAAAACAAACAATTCGAGACGCCAAAACGAAGCTTCCCACGAAATGATCTCCAGCTAAAATCGACAATGTAACAACAGAATCCGAAAACCAAACCAGCACACATCGTCCCAAAACACCAGAGAAAGGAGCAAACTTTAAAGCAAGGGAGAGCAACCCACGTCACCGACCCGACGAATTTTCAAAGAAAATCAGGGCGCACGAGGCACAAAAAGGAGCACGGAACATCGGGGAACGAAGAGGGGGCAGGACCCATTTGCGGGGGCGAAAGGAACGGAGCTGAAAAAGGCACCTGAATTGGGTCTTCCAAAGTCCCGGCGAACCAACGGAAGAGAAGACGATGCGGGGAAAGAGTGGGGGAGAGGTGGGAATGGGATGATGGTCTGGGAGGAGCCCCGAATGCTCCTGCTATTTAAAGGCCACGCGGTGGAGGAGAAGACACACATGGCCACAGAATTTCTCCTCTCTACACAGAGAGAGAGAGAGAGAGAGAGAGAGAAGTATATGCGAAAGAGATCTGGTTCTTCTGATGTGGGGGACACGCATGTGCTGTAAGAGATTGGTACTCAGATCTACAGCAACAGGAGAGAGAGAGAGAGAGAGAGAGAGAGAGAGAGAGAGAGAGAGAGAGAGACTCCCGTCTTGCTTCTTAATTTTTCGAAGGAAAAAAGGTTTTTTGCTCGAATGAGATTTTGAACATTTTGATACGTAAGACAGCGCAGCTCCATTTTGTGCAACATTTTGACGCGGATTACGGTCTAATTCCCTAAGAAATCCTCGACTTTGTGTCTAATATTACGTCTCGAGCAATTTTTGTTCGGGCAAAAAAAATTCAAAATTTAGGTTCAGTCCAAATCTGGCCCAAAATTGTTTGTCTAAAAAAAAACCCAACTCTAAGTTTAGTCCCAAAATCTACCTCGAACTTTTTTTTTATGATCAAGAGAAAAATCACTAATTTTTATTATAGTCCCAAATTCGTCCCCATTAGCCCTTTGTCCAATGATCACTGTTAGTCCCTAACTTTTATATCCTACAACAGCTTCATTTTGGAGATAATTTTCCATGTCACCTTGTTGATGTGTGAATTTGTTATCAATGTAGAAATGCCACGTCAAGTTGAGATACCGTAGATTTGAGAATAGATTGAAAATTGACGATTTTTTTTCAAATAAAACAAAATTCGGGACATATTTTGGACTAGACTTAAAGTTTTGGGTTTTTTTTCGAGACAAAAAAAAATAGTTCAGGGTAAATTTGTGACTTGACCTAAAATTTGTGGTTCTTCTGAAACAAAAAAAAAAGTCCGAGGTAAAATTAGGACCTATATAAAAAAATGTGAGTTTTTTTTTAAAGGAATTAGGCTTATGCATTACGACCCCCTTTTCTGTCATCCCTGTTTTTTTTTGATTGGGTATGTGGAGTTTAATGGGACGAATCGTCACATTTGGCGGGCGAAATCTTGCCTTGTCGAGAGGGAGAATCTGAAAGGCATCTTTCGCGATCTCTCCACTTGCTGCAAATTAAGCAGGAAAGGTGGCGGATGCGATTGATCGTACGACGTTTGTTTGTTTCTTTCCCCTCGTGACTTTTCCTCTGTTTTTTTGGCCTTTCTGTGGGTAACGGAGCGGAAGGGAGAAGATTCGTAGAAAGAGAGGGCGGTCTGTTCGTTTGGATTGAAGACAAAGCGAAGGGAAGTTGCATGGAAAATTCTCAGAGCTTTTTAAAGCCCAGCTCTGTTGTTTTTGGCTTTCGTGACCATCGATCAAATCGAAATTGGAAACTTTGCACGTACGGTTTTTGAGATTTTGGTACTAGAACAAGAGTCACTTTGTTGAAACTGTTTATTGTTTCGCGTCGTCCATCAGTTTGAACCCCCAACATGCCCGCGATATAGGTAAGCTAGCGGTAAAATAATGTTAAGCAGGAATCGGTTTCTAACTTTGCTTGGCTCGAGACGACATAAAGGGTGAGCGATTCCAGGTTCCGTCTAAATTTCACTTGAAACCCACTTGGAACCGGAATCTACCCGTCGGAACAATTTTCTTTTTTGAAACCAAGAACTTACGTTGCATAACATGGAACTTGAAACCTATCCTATTATAGGTTTCAGATCTACTCGGGAATCGATCAATTTCCTCCTCTTTTTTTTTTCATTTTTAATTAAGCCTAATTTGTTGTTCGTTTTTTCTAATTTTGACACGGAAAAAGGATTGAAGTTACCTAGTTTTCTAGACTTAACCAGATGAGGACTCGGTGGCTAAATCCAATTGTTGATAGTCCATAGCTTTGCTTTGGATTTAGCAAATCAATTCAGGTTTCATTAGCAAAAGGGTACTTGTAAATAGGGGTGAGCGAGCGGTCTTAGGTTCCGTCCAGATTTCACTTGAGACCTAAAACCTACCAATTAGAACATGTTTATCATTTTTTGGAGCATAGAACTTATCCTACATTACCTAAAACCTGAAACTGAATTGGTTCTCCGATTCCCGATTCTATCTTGAAATCATGCTTGCCCCTAGTTAACGCAAAATGGTAGTTCTAGCGACAGAGAGGAACGAGTTCGACCTCCGGAGGTTAGGGGCTCTCGAGGGTTTCGATTCTCGTAGGCGTAACCTCTTTGGAACCAGACTCTCCAGAATCCTCTGTTCACGACGTGGATCGCTTGCCCTCGATCAGGCCGTGTGACATGACGTCACCTGCGATTGCAATTTTCAGCAAGTACATTGGAAACCAAAGATGGACAACCATGAAGGCAAAAGTATACTTCTGCAAAGAGAGCTGGGGCTTTAACACGAACTGGGGTTCGGTAGGTGCCAGGTGGTGTAAGGTAGAAGTAGACATTTCGTCATAAACCGACACGACCGTTCGGAAACCCGATAGGAAGGTTCGCGTCTTAACTCGTAAGGACCGCCATTAAAGTGGATCACGAAACATCTGGGCACAACGAACTTCAGTCCTATCAATCAGAAAAGTTCACCTGCAATGCCCGAAACAGTGAAAAGAATGTCTCAACCGATACCGAACTGGGTATTCGGCATCTCAATCCCCCATTTTTATCCCATGATATAAATTACATAAGGTGACCCCGGGCATGAGGAGGGTCAGGAGTAGCCAAGAAAGTAATGAAGTTTGTATGAAGAAGGTATCTAGAAGGATGAGAACAAAATGGTCATTGGGGACACCAATTCGACAAGACACATCACCAAGAAACACGATACATCACTGCATTTCCCGCCACATTTCTCCCTCAGTTGCCAAGATCGACGAAAACGGGATCGCTTTCGAGTTGCTCCGCAAACTTCCCCAAGATCTCCTTCACAATTTCCTGGATTTCGTCTTTTCTCCATTCCGAAACACTCTTATCGAATGCAGCACTATAAAATACAGCATTGTAAAGAGCAACTGCTTCTTCAATGTCCAGTGGTGGCAACCCCATATCGGCACCATTTTTCTCCAGATACTTCCTAACTGTTTCGACACAATTTTGTTCATGATTCCCCTCCAATATCTTCTCCGTGACATTTGCCAGTTGCTTTTCGTCTTCTAAGAGCTGCAAGTACAATCAAGAGAGCACACCAAAGATGCTAAGAGGAGTCACAACAGAGCTATCAAAATTCTTGGTGCGGAAAAGTGCGCAGAAGGGAAACATAAAAACATCTTCTAAATTTGGAATCTCTTATGCAAAAACTCTAAACACATGCTGGGGAACGTTAAATAGGACCATTTCTCTCTCAACACATCAACCGTATCTCCAAGGTCAAATATGTACGAAGACGGTGAAGAGGATTGTTAGTTGGATGACCATTCTGAAGAGAGTTGTTTCAATTCTTAAGAGACAAATTATCATGCAAACAGTTCATTTGTATTTCCGCTTATTCCTTTTGATCAAAGGCTGCAAACTTCTGGGATCTATTTATGCATGTCTTTTTGTGAACGTCAACCAGAAAAGTAAAAGTTTCAACAAAATTTAACCAAATATAAAATTAGCCATCTTCATCCTCTCTACTTCATCTGCCAAAGCTACTCAGAATTGTTGAATGATCTCCTCCACCCAGCCACATCTTTTGCTTGATCATTCTTGAACACAGGTCCTTAGAACATAGATTGTTTTATGCAGAAATATGTGCATAACCACACTGGCGCACTAGCGCCTTTTACAATATAACTCCAACTTATTTGACATACAAATAATGCTCATTTATTTATAAAGCAGGATTTGTAATGGCATGCTCATATTATTAGGAAGTGTCTAACAGCTTCATGTTTCTGCTGCATATCATGTCATATGAAACATGAAACAAGAGATAGTAGGAATGAAGCAAGACTGAAGTTTTTTGCATTTGAATAAGGCATCTCGATATAATATACTGAACTAATGGACAAGCTATTACCTTTCTGATCTTAGAACCATTGACAACCTTCACATTATGAGTGACAACAACGCGCTTTTCGGCCAGCGTATCTGCTAGTTCATGTAGAACAGACTGGAGTACTTCCGCAAATTGTGCTTGGCCCACTTCCTCTTCCCCTTCAGCTCCATGTTTCTTCAAGATGTCACTAAGCAGGTGTAACTCTGCTCAAACAATCATTCAACGTTTCAACTTTATGAAACAGAGGACGCCATTCTATGATGATGATTTAGAAACAGGTTTGATATTACATCTGAATGTCCAATCCTTTGCAAGTAAATCCAGTAAGCCTGCAAACAGGCTTCAAAAGAGTATTTTTTGACTAAAGCATCAAAAAATTCTTCAATTGACTAAAAAAAGGATAAACAGGACACTGGAGAAGGAAGATTGTGCTCAAGTTTGGCTTTCATATTGGAGAGTCACTTGACAATGCATAACAATGGCGCTAATGGAGAACTGAAATAAGTTTTTAATTATGAAGACTAAGGACATTTGATGAGAAACAACAGAAAAACAGCAAATATGTAATCTAGTAGCAGACGACAATGGGAAAAATTTACCATAGTCTCGCAAAATCAATTCTGTCGGGTACACCTTTTGACAGTGCAAACAATTTTGTGCAACCATTGAAAGATTTACATGTTGCTTTAAGACGATATTTTTTCCACAGGTAATAACAGGAAGAGAAGGCTAAGTCGGGGGCACACTGTCGATGCCCTCGTGAGTCATTTCAAAGTTCACATACAATCACAAGTTTATAGCAACAATTGCAATGTAAAAATACATTTTTGGAGATAATCCAATAGATGAGGAAGTTAATACGGGGGACGGAATTGAAAAAGCCAACCTGAAGGTGGAGGAACGCCCATCTCGACTCCCATGTTGTCAAGAGCTCTTCTAATCTCACTCTTCTTGATCTTTCCTGTATCTTCAGCATCTAGTTCTGTGAATAGATTCTCTGCTAACATTGCAAAATCATCTTCATCCTCTAGATCTAAGCGTAGAGCACTTCCATCCAAAATTGATACAACAATGGGATCATCTGCACTTCATAGTCGTTGATGAGAATCTTTTTTAGAATCACGGACTTGAAGAAAAGAAACAGTGAAAGCATATACACGTCTGGTTACACGTTATCCTATTGTATTAAATGATCATACTAAGAAACCTAAAACTATGGAAACATGTGGATGTTGCCATTCAATTAGCAAAACGAAAGCACGTGCTGTCTGTACAACAGTAACCACCGTGAATTCATATCCTCTGCAGAAAGCGTTTTCTGTCTGAAATGGACAAATTCAACACTGAAAAAGAAACATAAACGCTCAATTTACTACATGCTGGTGCTCGACTACCGGTTTTCTGAGATGTTAGGAACAAACACCAAAATGCAATGCAACTGTTCCGTTATTGATTTCGGCAACAATTCGTACCTTCTTATCTTTCATCTCCTTGGCAACTCCCAAGTGCACAACTCAATACATGTTCCATTTCACAGTTACAATTCTTTAACGCGAATTCGAAGAGTGGTCCGAACACTCACAGACAGCACAAATGTAATTTTTGCAAACTTGCAGGGCATTTTTTCGTCGGTGAGACAGTCGACACATTCCCGAATCACTTTCCGAAGTCGAATGGTCTCTCTTTCTTTCAACAAATTTTTTCACCTAATTAACGATGGAGAGAGGTCGTCTACTCATAAATTTCCATCTCAAGATAACGCGAAAGGCCTATGCTCACAGAGGAACCTATTCCTCAGCAACAAATTACCAACCAATTCATCAAAGCAGCACTAAAAAATTCAGCATTAACAACATGCGCTCCTAAACAAACTCAGGACACGGAAACAAAAGCCACCGCGGCTCATCACCTTTCAATTCACCAGCGATCGCAGCGACATACTCCTTGAGCTTCTCCGCAGCCTGATCCCCGTCCAGCTCCGCCTCTCGGAAACCGCCGCCGAAGCCGACGCGGCCGAGCGCACGGGACCTGATGTTCTCCGGCAGCGCGAGGCCGTACAGACGATCGCTGACTCTGGACTCCGCGAGCTCGATCACCTGCGAAACGGATCGGATGCTCACAGAAATCAAAATCACGCGGGAGCGCGAGCGCGGGCGAGCGATTTGCACGACCGATCGTCGGAACGATCAGACGCGTATTCGTCATCAGATTAACGCGCGCACGCCAAAACTTAGACGGCAAGGAAAAGCGCGAGATCGAAGCGACGATCCATCGTTGCGGAGATGCGCACCTGAGCGCCGATGAGGGCGCCGCCGCCGTGATCGGGGAGGGAGAGGTCGATGTCGCCGCCGAGCTGCGCGCCGTCGAGGACGGCGAAGCCTCCGCCGGTCGACATTTGCAGGCAGAGAGAGAGAGAGAGAGAGAGAGAGAGAGAGATTTGAATTGAGTTTTGGTGAGAGAGAGAGAAGACGAGGAATGGTCTCGCTCTGTGCACCGCGCTGCGTAGGTTCTGAGGGGGGGGAGGGAGGGAGACATTACGTGCGGGCGTTTAGGACTTCGAGTTGTGGACAAATTACGGATGTTGCCACTCTCGCTTTACGTGGAAAGGTTCGTGTACTTTTGGAATTTTTTTTTTAAATTTCTTTTTTTGAAGACAGCGCAAATCGATTTCGAACGTTTCCACTCGTGTTGAAAAGTCGCACGAATTTTAATAAAACTGGAAATCGAAAGGGAAAACGACCACAAATGGTCCCCGAACTTTGGCCCGATGTGCAATATGGTTCATAAATTTTTGGTACGCGCGAACGTTAATCTCTAAACTATATGAAAGTGTTCAATTATTGCCCTTCCATTAATTCAAGTTCAGGAACACTATACGAAAATGTTTAATGTTTCCATTCTATTAATTCAAATTCAAGGATAATATTGAATATTTTCATATAGTCCAGGGACTAAATTGAACATGTACCAAAATTTCAGGGGCCACATTGAATAATTTAAAAGCTCAAGGACCCATATCGTACATTGGGTTAAAGTCCAAGAACCACATTGAATAAATTACAAGTTCAGAAATCACATTACACACTGTGCTAAAGTATGGAGACCTTTTGTGTAGTTATCCAAATATTTTGTTTTAAAAAAAAAATACACAATTCTTATAAGATTATTTTGAACAAACACCTGCTCGTAAAAAATCTCGGGTCCATTCACGAACGATATAAATACGAATTCTATTTGACTAGAAAATTATAAACATGGATTCTCGAGGAGGGCCACACTTCTAGTCGACTCCTTCTAGAAATTGGCGAATTAAAAGAGAAAGAAAGAAAGAAAGAAGGGAAAGTGATGATCCATTTTGGAAGCCAAAAAGATCACAAAAAGGTGCATGTGGAGTTCCACTTTAAGCGACGCGCAATCCATTTATAATCAAATCCGTTTCTATTTAAGGGCGGGGGCAAGTCCCCGTAATTTCGGGGGGGATAGGAGGGCGAAAGCGGTAGGGGCGACAAAAATTAAACGCGGGGCTGAATGGGGAACGGATCCGGTGGGGTCAACGGTCTTTGGCGGGGCACTAAATATATGTTTTCGCCGTGTAGTTTGCGTTACTTTTCTCTTAAGGAAATCAGTGGGGAATGATGACCATTGAATAAGTAGCGGGACCATTCAAAACGGGCCGTGGTTACTCTCACCTCTTAAATTACAAGAATTGACACCAAATATTAAGATTATGTGGGGAAACATTTGTTGAGGGCGTGGTTCGGGAAGGCATGGGGGTCCTGCTCCCCGGTAAGAGGGGCCAGGATTTGGCGGGGGCGCCCCGGAGGGAGCTGTAGGAGGCAGCACCCCCCGCGAGCCAGAGGGCTTGTGTAATTTGGGCCTGTATTTTATTGGTAGTTTGGATTTGTGTCCATAAATAGCGATCGAGTATACATAATCGCGTTCTCTTGTAATTGAGGGCTGTAACGGAGAGATATGTGATGTGCTAATTACAGTGGAATCCTTTGCTGGATACAGCCCTAGATGAATCTTGTGTCTCGATTTCTCTTTCCCGCTTTTACTCTCTATTTCGTTGTGTTTTTTGTGCCTAATTCTAACAAATTTACCTGATCAGTCATAAATCTATTACATAGACACCAACTCAGTCCAAAATCTTTTTAAATTTGTCGATTTAGTTCTAAATTTTTGTGCAAAATTTTAATGTAGTCATTTCGGTCAATTTTCACCTGAACTCACTGATGTGGCGGTTCAGTCGTCGTTGCACCTGGCATACCTCCACGTCAGCCATTTCTGGCGAAAGTTGGCTGGAAAGATCATAATAGAGTTTCCCGCAAGAGTCTATGACTGAATTGGTAAAATCAAAATGTTTATGACTGAATTGATATCTGTACAATAGATTTCAGAACTGATTAGATAGTTCACTTTCAGAATATGCGATCTGACTGCCGGTGTTCGCAGGTAATATCACGGTTGTCTTATTGCTCGGAAATTTTTTTCCAAAAGACATGTAAACGGACATAAGATTTACAATCGCAAATTCCAAAATTCAGTCATGTGGGTCCGTCTTAATTTGTACCTGGACTCCATTTTTCCAACTTGAAAAATTTGAAGGATCACACCATCTGAACATCTCCTAGAGATCCAGACACAATCGAAGGAGGCTCATACTCCATGCCATAAACCGAATTGCTCCTGGCAATCTCGAATCTCTCCCCGTCCCCGGCGAGCGCAAACCCTCGCTCTCCGTGGATCGCCTCGTCCCCGACCCGCATCTCCCCTTCGCTCAGCCGGAGCGGCACCACGAGCCCAACGAGCAAGCAGATCGAGCTCGTCACGGCGACGTTGAGACATACGATGAAGCCGATGCCTAAGAGCTGCAGCCCCATCTGCCTGAACCCTGCGTGGGCAGTCCCGTTCTGGAGGCCGTAGGCAAGCCCGACGTACTTCTCCCAGCCGGGTGCCATGTAGAAGAGGCGGCACAGCTTCGGCACAGCAAAAAACCCGGTGAGGATGCCGCCCAGGGTGCCGGTGACCGCGTGGGTGTGGAGCACCGACATCGGGTCGTCGACCCGCCTCAGGAGCCCGACCCTGTTGTGGAGGACCGTCATCGTGTACCGCGGGACGCTCCCGGAGACGACTCCCATGAGGATCGCCGCCCAGCCTTGGACCACTCCTGGCACATGATCTTGCTCTATGTTAGTGTGCCCGCTGTAAAACCCTTGATGTTGCATTGTGTGGATATTAACATACATCACGTATTATCGAAAGATAGCTAACCTGCTGCAGGAGTGATGCAAACCAGGCCGGTGATCATGCCATTGACTGCACCAACCACGGAAGGCTTGCCGAGCAGGAAGGAGTCGAGGATCAGCCACGTCAGCGAGCTCGTGGCGGTGCACGCGTGCGTGTTGAGGACGGCCAGAGATGCGGCGCTGCTGGCGGCGAACGGTGCTCCTCCGTTGAAACCCGTCCACCCCATCCAAAGCAGCCCTGCTCCTGCGAGCATCAATATGAGGTTGTTCGGAGGGAAATTCTCCCTGTCCTTTTCTGCTCTTGGACCCACCTAAACAATGAAATTCAAGCTAAAATATGAGTTGATTAACGGGTCAAAATGGGATGACATAATGATTTGTAAATGGAAGGAGTGATTTCAGATTGAATTTGAGTAAGTAGAAGGGCTTAGTGAATAGATATCACTATTTATGTACATGATATCTCACCTTATACTTGGTTTTCGTATGTGGCAAAAGCGATTAGACAATAATAAATTGCTAAATAACCCGACAACTTTTGCATGAGTCCTACTCATTTTGACATCCAATATTATCTCATCAACTCATTTAGTCAACAAATTTTAGTAGCAAGTCTTATTATTTCTAACAATGTTATGATGTGATAAAACAAATTCTTTTGACGATATATGTGTCATCGAAAGAGATCCAATATATGTTCTTCATAGTTTCGTACCCAATAGGCCGCAGTGAATCCGGCAACGCCGGAGGAAAGATGGATCACATAACCTCCAGCGAAATCAATCACTCCAAGCTTAGCCAACCATCCATCCGAGCACCATATGCTATAAGCGGCTATCGTGTAGGAACATGTCAACCACAATGGCACAAACAGCATCCATGCCCTAAAGTTCATCCTCCCCAAGAGGGCGCCGGCGACCAAGATCAACGTGATCACCGCGAACACGCCCTGGAAGAAAACCATTGTCGCCGTTGGGAACAGTCCCAGGAAGGCTTGCCCCAGTAGGTACCCCTCGTCCAGGGCCACGCCTGGTTTCCCCAGGAAGGGCGCTAGCCTCTCCCCGAACGACATCCGGTAGCCCCATCCGACCCAGCAGACAAGGACGGCCGCGAACGCATAGAACGCCATGAAGGCCGAGTTCACGGCCCACTTCCCCTTCACCATGCTCCCGTAGAGGATCACGAGGCCCGGGATGCTCTGGAGGCCGACGAGGGTGGCTGCTGTCAGCTGCCATGCGTTGTCGGCCTTGTTCATCCACTCGGGGCTTGCCTCATCCGGCAAAAGGTTCGCGGGAAGCGCCATTGCAGAACGAGTCGGTCGGATCCGACTTGGATGGACAAATAAGAAAGGGTACTTGGACCAAAAATTAAAACCAGAAGCTGGATGTAGCAAAAATATGTGTCATGGGTAGGTTTCGAATGGAGGGTGTTGAAGTAGAGAGAGAAGAGAGGGTACTTTTTACACAATGTCTATTTATGATCATTTCGGAATTGTATGTTTGTGCATTAAGGATATGGCTTGCAAGTGTACTTGCATTAGATTAAGATAGAAAGGCCGGCTCAAGGAATGAACTAAGTTGGATCCTTTGGAACTCGATTGAGATGGAGTGAAGACGGAGAATATACCAAGAGGCAGAACTTGGGCATAATGGCTCGATCAAGAAAAGCCATACAAAAAAGTTCAAAATGGACCCATCACTCGACTACTTCAGCATCTCAAAGAAATGGCACTCACCTTGTTACATCGAGTAAATTAATTTATTTATTTTTAAGGCTAGTGACTATAATCAAGAGGCAGGTTGATTTATGACTATAAAATCATAAGAGACAGAGGAATGACATAAGTGCGTTTTGCTCTATATTAATATACCAAACTTGCCATGTTAGGTGGTGTCGGCATTGCATGGTCTGGTTAATTGCCTGACCAAATTGGTAAAACAATTCTACGTACTCAATTTCATCTGATAAGATGAGATATTTTCTCATTTTTTTTCTTGGTCAATAGCAATCGATTGATCTTCTGGTGCTTTATCTTATGGTCATAATTGTGATTAATTACAGATATATTTAACAAGGGAAACATTTTATATCTAATAAGTACTTAGAATAAATACAATTACCATTCTAAAATTCATCCACCATGTTAGCCCTGAAGATAATCTAACTAGCTTTATCATTTGACTCGGTGCATGTGGGATAAGAAAAGTAGTGAGACTTCTCAATGAGTTATGTACTCCATTATTACAAAAATATATGTTAAGTAAATTTCTAGCAATATATATATATAAAATTGTTAAATGAAAATTCGTCTTGTAAACTCCCAAAAAAATATTGTCCATATGTCATGGATATACATGACCTACTATTTATGTTGAGACACACTATAAGCTAGCCAGCTTGCTAAGCAGCTAAGCAAATTGGACTGAATGTCACTAAAAAACTTAAAACACTGAATTAAGAGCTTACTAAATTAAAACTATGATGTCATAGATGTCACACACACACACACACATATATTATATGCCACTGGATGCAGCCTCATTGATTATCTTATATATATGCGCCTTAACAATATTTAAATCGTTTCTACCCATGATGTGGTTTGACTAGGGAACTATTTTCTTTCAACATTCCTTTTTGGATCCTGTACAAACATCAATGTGCTAATTACGAAATAAAAACCGTTAAATCAGATATAACGACGGATCATGCCTCAAATATAAGCACAGAAATCTGAAACCCTACACAAAGCAAGCAAAAAGAAGCGCAAAAATAGTGCACGGTCTTTTCACTAACTTTAATGGCTATTCAAAGCTTGTTTGTTTCGTGAAAAACTTTTCTATCAAAAAACACTTTCCTCATTTTACGGCATTTGGATAACTTCATAAATAAGTCAACGGAAAGTCTTTTTTTAACAACGGAATATCTATACTTAAATTCAAGAATATGATTTCCTCTCTCGGGTCCTTGACAGTCAGGCCTAGGTCCATAGAAGCTAACCCTAAGTCAAGCCTGGAATCCCCCATGCTCAGGTCCCTCGTGGCTATGCGTGAGTACCTGGCTCTTGCGCCCGAGTCACAAGCACCTGGGCTCGGGTCCATCGAGGCCAGGCTCCCGGTCCCATGCCTAGGTTCCCGATGACCATGCTCGGGTACCAACTCCCATGCTAAAGTCATAGTCGCCCAAGGTGGGCTCCACAAAGGTTGGGCTCAGGACTTTTGTGCTTGTGCCAGAGTCCTTGCAGCTGCCTGGGACCTAATGCTTGTGCCCGGGTCCCCAATAGTCATGCTCGAGTACTCGACTCCCACGTCCAAGTCACTAGCTCTCAGGCTCGATTCCTCGGCTACTGAGCTCAGGTCCACAAATGCTAGGCTCAAGTACCTCGAAGTTGGGCTTAAGACCCGATGTTCGTGCTTCGGTCACCAGCGATCGTGTCGAGGTAGCTGGCTCTCGCGTCCAAGTCAACGGCACGCGAGCCTGACTCCACCAAAGACTGGCTGAGGTCCCCAATGCCAATGCTCGGGTTCCCAGTGGCTGGCCTGAGAGACCTTGACTCCTGCAAACAGGACCCGGGTAGGTGGGTATCCTTTATATCATACAAATAGTGCATGTCTCCTCAAGAAAGTAAAATCAAGTTTTCCTTTCTAAATGACGGAAAATAATTTCCAGTTCAAATTCAAATTTCATCCAAACACCAAAAAAAATATTATTATTTTCTTGGAAGATGATTTCTTTGAAAATATTTTCTAAAAATATCAAATTTCAGACAAACAAATGCAACCCAAGTATTGAAATGAAATTGACAAATTGTCTTAATCAAGCTATAGTTAAAAGATAATTTAAAGCACACACCAAATTCCTTGGCAGTCCCTTTTTATAAAATTCCTTCTATTCCTCATTGTATGTTCAAACCCTAACATGACTCGTTTTGTGTAGTGGGAACCATACGACTTTCAGTCATCTGGGTGTTCTCATTCATTTTCCAGCCATCGAATAAAATAAATGATATGCGACCGAAAAAATAAAATAAAATAAACGATACTTCAATAAAATTAATAAATGATACATTTGTGCTTTTCACATATGAAACGCCAGAAATATCTCAATCACCAGAATTTTAGGGTCATCCTCCTCTCATTTCTTGTTGACCATAAATTTTCCATCTTCACGACCATTTTACAGCCTAAGGCCATATCTGAATATCAATGGGAAACGACAAAGTCAAAGGTATACGATAGAGGAAAGATTGCACAAGCTGTCTCTAATGACCAATACGCAATCCGTGGAAATATTTGCACAAGGAATATATGGACCCTTTTCAGACTATCCCTTTTCATTTTTATGTAGAAATTCAATTCCACAAGCGTGTGAGGCACGTCTCAACCAATTCTAAACCTTTTTCTCTTTTTAAGTGCAAAATGTATTGTATGTGAGTCTGGATAGCCTGTGCTTGCCCTAATCAGAAAATCCTTTTCATACAGACCAGCCCGATCTATTTGTTTTTTGGGTGTAAAATGTAAGTATCATTTATAAGGTGATGTACATAAGCTTAGAGGTATTCTACAACATTGTAAATATAGCTGAGATCATGAGAAAATGGAGTTAGGGAGTCTCCATACAGTAGCCAATATTACATTAGTCTAGGAAGGTCTAAAATTCTTGTAGTACGAAGCTTGCCCTCTAACAAGTTTACGAACTTTAGCCAAGATGATAGTGACATCATTTGACTTGTTTTGGAAATGTTTACGATTACGCTCCGTCCAAATGCAATATATGGTCGCTGGGAAGGATACCTTGAGAAGCCGTGCTGCCAAGTCCTTGCATTTGGTAGCCCTAATCATCCATTGGAATTCATCATTCCATCCTCCTAAAGGACGTCGAATTCCATATAGTGTGAGGCTATTTTGCCTTAAGCTTCAAGTCTAGGTGCATCGAAAGAATAGATGTTCTCGGTTTTCCAAACTAGGCATACAGAAATTACAATGGACGTCTACTTCAGGCATCCAACGTGATACGTTCTCTACTATTGGAAGTCTCTCTACAAGCAAGCCAGCCGATAAAGTTGTGTTTGTTGACACCACCTGTCCAAATCAAATGATACAATTCCACAACCGGTCCCACACCCATGAGTCCATCATATATCTCTTTGCAACAATACATTTGCCGAGAAATAGCTAAAGCTAAAGTCCATCTCAATTTAAGAATACCACGCTAAGATTTCAAGCTACATAATCGGATTGCCTCTACATTTAATGCTATTAGCCCACTTACTCCACATGGAAGAAGACGGACAGTTTATGAGTTTCCAAAGCATACGGCCTAGCAAAATTTTGTTCCAAAATTTTACATCGAGCAACCCTAGTCCATACTCCCTTTTTGATGAGCAAACAACTTCCCAAGCAAATCTCTGCGATCTGTGGCCTTCTATATTTCTAGCCCATAAGAATTGTCTAATCTTCTTCACCACATTGTATATGGTTTTCTTTGGGAATAAAACATTTGCATCCAATAAGTACATATGGAAATAAGTACCAATTTGGCTAATTGGAGATGACTAGCATAGCTAATATGTTGCATGCCCAAGCCTTCTATTTTTTTTGAAGATTTTATCGGTCAGACTTTTGCAATCTGTGTGTGAGTCTTCTAGTGACAATTGAACCACCAAGGTATCTAATAGGGAGGGTACTTGTGGGAAAAGACGTGTTATCCAATATGGTGCCCTTTTTTTCCTCGGACAACCCAGAGAAAATGATTTGGCATTTATTTGGGTTAAAGTGCAGTCTTGTGAGAGTTGCCAATTCATCAAGTGTGTCGACAACGCAAATGATAGAATCTGCATCCCCATGAGCAGAAAGAAACAAATCATCTACGAAGCATAAGTGAGTATTTTTTTCTGTTTTGCAGTGCCAATGATACTTGATAGAAGATAGAGCAACTTTCTCAATGATGATTCTGTTAAAAATTTCCATAACCATGACAAACAAATAAGGAGAGAGTGGGTCATCTTGCTCTAATCCATTGGTACCAGCAAAATAGCCAACCTGTTCACCGTTAAGGTTTATTGAAAACCTTGGTGTAGTTATACAATAAACTATTAGATCAATCAAGTGCTGGGGTGTATTGATAGCTTCAAGAACCCTGAGTATTGCTTCCCATTTTACCAAGTCATAAGCTTTCACGGAGTCAATTTTTATTGCCACACTTTTACCTTTGTCACCCTTATGGTACTTACGAAGGCGTTCCATGCAAAGCAGAATATTCTCCGAGATTTGTCTTCCCGAGATGAAAGCAGTTTGGTTGAGGCCAACAATCGAAGGAAGGACATAACCGATTCTTTCTACAAGTAACTTCAATATATCTTATACAAAACATTGCAGCATGAAATAGGTCTGAAATCCGTGAGGTGGGATGCATTTGGGACCTTCGGCACAAGGATATCAAAGTAGAGTTTATACCTTTTAGCAATTTTCTTGAGGAGAAGAATTCCATAATAGCATCCTCTATATCATGTCCTATGATGAGCTGGGTTTTTTTGTAGAATAAATTGTTATATTCATCTGGACCCGGAGCTTTGAAATTGTTGAGGCCTTTGAGAACTCTAGGGATTTAGTTTGTTGAAAGCCTGGTGAAGCAATGAGGGCACTGACATCTTCAAGGAATAAGGAGGCATATCGCTCGTAAGGGATACAGATATGTCTAGAATTACCAAGTATGCGATGATAATAAGAGATAATTATATTTCGAAGAGCTTCCTCATCTGTGATAATAGTTCCATCATCAAGTGAGAGCTAATTAATTCTGTTTTGAGCACTACTCTGCATCATGGAGGCACAGAAACTCCTCCTGTTGTTGTCCCCCTCCTTGAGCCATAAATTTCTAGATTTTTACGTTAGAAAGACTTCTTCATGTTTGCTAAGGGCTAGTAGTTGTTCCAATTGTGCCTTTTCTTCATTCCAAGTGTTCATGTTGTAAGGGTCCAATGCAAGATCCTATTGTAATCATTGTAGGTTCTCCCTGGCATTCTTGACCTTCAAATGCAAGTGACCAATTGAGATCTATTCAGGTGATTGAGTTGTTGTTTCAATGCTTTGGGCTTCTTCACTAGAATGAACATTTTGGATTCTCTAATTTCTTGTTGCCAGCAAGCATGGATTATTGGTAGAAAATTGTGGCTTTCGGTCCATAAATTGAAGAATTTAAAAGAGGGCTTACTTTTCATAGCAGTAGTGTTAAGACACATCAGGCACGGAGAATGATCTGAGACACCCGGTAGCCAAAATTCTACTGAATAGTGAGAGGACATGTCCTGCCAATCTGCATTAATGAAGACCCTGTCAATATTGCTCGCTCTAAGATTATCATTAAACATTTTATTTGTCCATGTGAAGAAAGAGCCTGTGGAAGGAGGCTCGATTAGCGCAAGCTCCTCAATCACAGTGTTTAGCTCATCCATTCCAAAAGTCGATCAGGCATTAGGTTCGATCCATTCATTTATATCTGTCGTTTCATTGAAATCACCTATTAGTAACCAAAGCATATTTCCTATATTACTAGTAGAGAATGAGGTAATGTTTTCCCACAGACACCTCCGTTCAGCTTTAGTATTGCTTCCACAAACGGCAGAAAGGAGAAATGGATCATCTCTTGGTTTCTCAACAAGGCAGTGAATGACTTGAAACATCCATCATAGTCAGGCTAATAATGGGCAGTTTCCACAATACTCATATTCTACACCCCCATCGTACCCCTAAATTCTTCATTTATGAACCGGCAGACTTGAAAGTCAACCTTACAATTTCAACAACTGTTTAAACCGGTAACAACTTGGATCAAACTAGGGAAAATTGTTGGTGGATTTTAACCAAATCTGCAATGAATTTTAAATGCTGAGGTTCGAATAAATTACTCACGTCATCATCAAACCCGTTTTGAGTCTCGTTTTACACCGCGTCGTCAAAGTCACGTTCGGTGGGATAGAATTCGAAGCTCGTTCATGAATTGGTGTAAGAAAAAGAGCACAGAGGAACCCTTGGCCACTTTGACATTCTTCTCCGGCATTGTTGTATGAAAAAGGTTTGAGAAAACACCTCCAGTACACGTTGAGACAAAATTATAGTAGATTCATATTTGACCGTTCAAAATGTGTTCTTTGTTCCAAATTTCTCAGTCTAATGTAATAAATGAAAGAGACAGCCCACCAGATGACCACCTTTGAAAATGAAAACCTCAGTATAAGAACTCGTGCAAGAACTAACTGGGGTTGTATCGTCTCAGCTCTCTCTCTCTCTCTCTCTCTCTCTCTCTCTCTCTCTCTCTGCATCGATCAATATGAAGCCAAATAGAGGGGATGTGTTAACTAAACAGCAGATTGATGAGTTCCGGGAAGCGTTTTGTTTGCTAGACAAGGATGGAGATGGTAGCCCTCAGTTCTTTTGTTTTTGTACCTGTATTAGTATTTCTATATACTTGTTTTTTTTGTAAACAATCTTTTCGTAAACTCGCTTTCTCTATTTGCCAGCTTTTTTGATTCATTGCTATTACATGATCTACTTCCTCAAGGGGTGTAACATACAGTTCTCCGTGATAGTTTTGGGATATAAAATTTTTATGTCGATAGCGTTGTCCAAATAGTTTACACCGTTAAAGATTAACAGGCTTGTTGGAAGTTTGATTTTTCCCATTTTCATGGCTCTTTACGACTTGAACCTGGGCTGTGAAATCTTGAATCCTAACATAATGATCATGTGTTTATTACAAGAGAATACAACAACTGCTTCTACCTTTTCTGTTCTCTCTATGCAACTGTGTAACTATACTAGATTCATTTTTCAGGTATTCTGGTTATGATATTTCAACACCTAATGCGTGTTTGCCTTCCTTGAAAATTGATTATTGGCTTGCTTGGTACACAGGAAGCATTACAATTAAGGAATTGGCAACTGCAATCAAATCCTTGGACCAAAATCCCACAGAGGAAGAACTTCAAAGCATGATCAACGAGGTCAATATTGATGGCCATGGGACTATAGAATTCGGGGAGTTTTTGAATCTTATGGCCAGAAAAATCAAGGTAATATCATACTTAAATATAAATAGCTAGTTTCACCGAAATTACATATTTGCGAGTATTTGATTGGATGAACGTATATGCGTTGGTGATATCTATGTTTAGGAGACCGAAATCGAAGAGGAATTAAAGGAAGCTTTCAAGGTCATTGACAAGGATCAAGATGGTTACATATCTCCTAATGAGGTTTGAATTATTTCTAACCCCACATTCCTTGTTCAGCTTATAATTCATTAATTGTAGCTTGTTCGTATCTTAGAGCAATTCCTCCTAACCAAACCACATTAAAAGGAAGGGAAGGTGACAGAGAAATCTTGAATAACTTTTATGAATTGAATTCGTATTTGTAAAATCTCTACTTTTAACGAGGAACCCCATTTTAGGTAAGTATTATCTCCAGACCCGTGAAATATCTCACAAACCACAAAATGTCCGATATAAATTACCAGCTTATCAAAGGTTCTTAACCACTGTATTACCTGTAAATGTAAATAACAACAAATAGAGATACTTTGAATGAGAGAATATGGCTTGTTTGGGGATCTTGCATCATTTAACAGCATATGATTCTATAAAACCACTCGCAGAATTTTTTCTACAATTTACGCAAATAAGGAGCCTTATCGTTTTTCTCTGTGCTTTCATTCTCTTCTCAAATCACTCTACTGATCTTGAACAACCTTTCTGTGGTTAGCTTCATTTACTCTGCTTGACGTCTCTTTTCTTATTTAGGGTTTTCGACATGATCCACTTAGTCTTTGGTTTTCTATCTACGAGTTGCAAACCCGTTACTTATCTTCCTTCTTTGGGACTAGACTAATATGAGGAGCAAATATTAACCTTACACACCAGAATTAACATGAAGAAGGGAGAGAAAGGATGGAAGTCCCTGACAAAGGTTTTGGCGATTACTTATAAAATACTTACATATATCGCTTCTCTCGAACTTCATGATGTTTCGAAGAACTTCCACTGATCTGCGCCGAAACTTCCTCAGGAAGACCCTTCCAATGCTTAAGTCAGTGAACCGGAAGAAGAAGAGAACTTCAGTTTAGTAAAAGCGTGATTATGTGGGACTTAACGAACTTATTCGCTTTCTCTTCCATATATATACATGCTCGTTTGATCATAACTACCTGCAAGCGAGCCACGTCGCATAACTCATCTGTTCTTGATATGCTGTCAATAAAAATTGCGTAAGAGATGGATGTAATTTACGATTAAAATCACCCGAATAGATTAATCTATTTGTAGTAAAGGTTAACTGAGCAGGTAAAAATACTATGACTCTATCCCTCGTGATGGTCTCCCTTTCGATTTCGGTTTAGTTGAAACATAAGAGATTTCGATTCTTCTGCTGTTTTACTTACTTATTTCTCTAGAGTTTGGACTGAAAACTCATCTAAAATGGTGGGTAATTGCAGTTGAAGCGTGTGATGATCAACCTGGAAGCAAAGTTAACGGAGGAAGAACTGGAAGAGATGATGAGAGAGGCGGATCTGGATGGTGATGGCCAAATTAATTACGAAGAGTTCATCAGGATGATGTTAGCTTTCTGAAGGCACCAGCGCAGCTACTCATGCTTGGCATGGATTTTATATCTTAAAGATATGTTGATAATTTATGTTTGCTGAAACTTTCCCTCCTATCCTTGCATATTCAATTGTATTTAATTTTAGAGTTATATAATCCATAGAGCCCAATAAGCGGAAGGAAATATTGTGCGAAATTAATATATATATATATATATATATATATATATATATATCATTTGTCATTTGGTAACTGAATGTGTTTTGCGGATTGGGTTTCCATTATATATAAAATCACTCTCCTCTTATCAAATGTCTTATAAGTTATTTACAAAACCCGATTTTCGCATGGACTAAATTTAGGGCTATTGGATTGTTTTATCGTTTCTTTTAAGTAAACATAATTTTCTAAGCAACATTAAAACTCTAATTTTGTGTCTTATAGCTATATGTTTTAGTGGATGGAATTGAAATAACTGTACTCTCAAAAGAGTATTGCATTGTAAGCAGCGAAGTCAAATTTTATCGCTATGCTACTGTACAGGTACAACTGTAATCCTTTACATATATTTATTTATTTATATATATATGTATATGATATCCTTGTCGTGCATAATAAAGTTGATTTTACATGAATTTATAAACATCAGTAAATTATAATTCTTGTAAAGTTAATTTAATTGTTCGTTACTTTGGATCTAGATATCAATGGATGTAATTTTATAATATACTCTCAAGAGATTTTCCTACTAAAATTTTACTTTTTCTTGACAAAGCACTTCAATTTTTTTGGCGAAAAGAAAAGAATCAGTTCATGAAATATTTCTTTATATAATGTGCAAAAGTCAATTTTACTATTATGTACTAGCTATTTCTTGGTAAGAGATAAACGTAATTAAATTCTATGATACTATAGGTTTTGCTCAATTGCACTCTTTTTACAGAACTAGCAAATGTGCACTATGTGTGCAAGAAATTGATATTTAAAAGATTCAGTTTATTACATCATATTTCAATTGTTCAATAATGGAAACAATTATTGATACAAATACACAATGCAAAGGAATTATATTATAGAAAGAGAAGTATTTCGAGATTTGAAATCTTTTTAAGAAGGTTTTTGTAGTATAAAAAATAACCAAATCCTAATATCGAAAAACTTCAGACATAATATTTGTAAAATAAGTATCTGCATGTATCTGGTGGAAGAAAAAACGATGGAGATCTCTTACTTAAAAGTATGAGGCTCTTTCTACTTTATATAATAATAGCGTACATCAATAACTAGATGCAGATTTATGTGATCATAATCAAGTAAAGTAAGCAAATTTGGTGCACATCTTTAATTTAGCAAGACATAATGCTTTTTGTTAAAGCAAAAAGAGAAAAAAAGACATGATGCATTTTGTCTTCTCTATGATGTTAAAATTCTCTCCATGTTTAAGTGCTTGATCCTATTTTGAGCACAAAAGCCCAATGGGCCGTTGCAAGCTTTGTCCATATGGGGTTCAGAAAATTTTTATAACTTCTAATGTGGACTCGATTTGCCATGACTCAGTCAACCATATGATTAGTCATGATGATGCTCACATGATCTAACAGTCGTGATGCTATTTGGTCCATAAATTTGGTTCTTGCAAGGTACGATATTTTAGACAAGTATAAAAAGAATAACTAATTTTAAATATATTCGTTGGTCATTCACGTTTCGTTCTTCAAAATCTTAATGCTATGTGACAGGACATTTGATCGTAGTAACGACCAAACAACCAATCATGATGCTATTTGGTCCATAAATTTGAATTATTGTGAGCTACGCTGTTGACTTAATTTGAACTTGTTAGACAAGTCTAAAAAGCATAAATTTTTTTAATATATTGGTTAGTCATTTATGTTTCGTTCTTCACCTTGCCGTGTGACAGAAAATTTGATCGTAAAGTGACCACCAAACAAATATTTTCTAAAATGTTAATACTACCAAAAACCCCAACCTATACCTATTGTGACATATTTACCTAAAACTTTTTTATGACACCAAAAACTCCAAACTATGCCCATTGTGACACATTTACCCAAAACTATTTTTTGTGACATCAAAAACCCCAAACTATGCATTTTGTGACACATTTACCCTCCGTTATAATTCCGTCCAAAATCACCGTTCATCGCAATGTTCATCGTCTTCTTCATGAAATTTTTTTTATCATTCATCGTCTTCTCCATAGCTTTACAAAGTACTGTTCATTGCGCTCTTCCTCCTCCAACACTCTTGCTTCGCTGCCCACTGCTACTTCGACCTCCGGCAGTTCTCATCGACGCTTGCCCAACCATCCACGAGCTTCGAAGATTGAGGTGAGACCCGACCCTCAAGCCAAGCTTCGAGCTCGAGCGGCCATGGTGGCCGCGAGCTTCGAAGCTCGATCTTCAAGCTACTTTGAAGCTTGGCCTTGGCCGCTTGCGACTACCCACGAGCTTTGAAGGTCGAGTTCAGACCCTCAAGCCAAGCTTCAAGCTAGAGCAGTCATGGCGGCCACTCAAGCTCGACCATCTCAAAGCTTCGTTTTCTAGACAAGAAAGTACTGTTCTTCCTCGCGGAGAAGATAATGAACAGTAATTTTTTTTGCTAGGTAGCAATGGGCAGAGAAGCAAAGAGGATCAGAGGAGTTTGGCCAAGTGAACGTGATGAACAGTACTCGTAAAGCTGTGGAGAACATGATGAACAGTAAAAAATGTCATGAAGAAGACGATCAACAGTGTGATGAACAATGATTTTGGACGGAATTATAACGGAGGGTAAATGTATCATAAAATGCATAGTTTGGGGTTTTCGATGTCACAAAAAAGAGTTTGTGGTAAACGTATCATAATGGGCATAGTTTGTGATTTTTGGTGTCACAAAAAAAAATCTAGGGTAAATGTGTCACAATGGGTATAGTTTGGGATTTTTTTTTGGTATTAACCCTTTTCTAAATGATAGTTTCTCGCAGCACTTATTTTCCCCAATAGATTAAGGTTCTTCGCCTTATTTTTCTAGGACGTCTCGATAAATCTCAATCTACATAAATTTGTTTTAATTTCTAGGACACGCACATCAGCCTTTTGAAATAAGGTGGATTTGAAATCCATATTTGCATTTTTTTTCCTCGTGAAACTTGTTCCCTTGTATCAATGTCAAAGTTTCGAGGAAACAATCCAGATTGTTTGAATGTCCAATTCAACAGCTTGAGATCATAAATTGAGGGAGACCACACACATATATATACATATAAACCCTTGTATAAGTGACGTGAGACACTTTAACATCCCCTATTACATGCAATAAGATTAGAAATGACGTGTGGAATTTGACGAACATGGGCCACACATGCGAAATAAACTGTAGCAGAACCTAAATCAGATACAATGTTAGAATGTTCGACTAAAAAATTTAACTTTATAGGTGAAGAGAGATCACATGCATTAAAAAATCATATAAATCCCGACAGCAAGCGTTGTGAGATGCATTGACAGAGCTATTTCCTCATAGGAAAAGAACTCGAAAGTTTGATACTTATCGACAAATGATAAAAAAGCAAAAAGGAGAAATTTTTTTTCGAAGAAGGACAAGATATATGATTATCAATTCAGGCTGAACGACTATAGAGCCACCACGCATATGACCAATTATTCTTGTTTCTTGGACTGAAAGGCATAACATGACTTGACCTCCTTCTTGATATGCAAGTTTTATGAACTTCTACTAGAAGTAGAAAATGAATTCCAGTTAACTAAAATATCGGCAGTGTTCATTTCGAAAACAAAAACTAAAATCCGAAGCAGATTTGTTTTCCCATGAGAAAGACTTACTTGTTTTTTAAGTTTACCTAAAGCACGAACACACTGCTAAATTTCAAGCATTTCCGTGATATTATTTAATCAAGGTTCTAAGACATATTTGTCATAAATAGATCGAATTCGCGGGGTTGCTTGCCCATTTGTTTGCTTTTGAAAATAAAAGAATTGCGAGAGCACTTAGACATACCAAAAATTCGATTTAATAAAATAAATTTACTTTAACCATTCATTATTTGGTGCATTTTCCTTAGGAAATAATGCAGGTTGTTAGAATGTCTAACAAAAAAATTTGAACTTATAATTATATAGAGAGCACATAAATTCCGTGAAAAAGCGATATGAGGTATTTTAACACCCCTTCTCACGTGTAAGAGCGATTAGGAACAATACATAGAATTTGACAAACGGGGAGCCGCAGATGCTAAATAAATTGGAGCAAAAACGTGACTAGGATACTAAATTAGAACGTCTAACGCAAAAGCTTAACTTTATAAGTAGAGAGATATCACATGTATAGAAAGAAGATATATACCCATAAAGAAGCCGCGTGAGATACTTTAACAAAGCTGTTTTCCCGTACAAAAAGAACTTGGAATTACATGGAAAGTTCGATAGAAACTCATCAATAAAGGACAAGAAAGAAAAAGAAAAAAGCAGAAATTTCTTTCAAAGAAGGACAAGCTTATATCACGAATTAATTTTGTTTATTTGGAAGGAGAAAATAACATGACTTGACCTCCTTCTTCGTTTGCAAGGTTCAGTAACTTCTACTAGAAGGAGAAAATGAATTTCCGTTGAACAAATATCGAAAGAGTAAATTTTGAAACATAGACTAAACGAGTATACTATTTCCCAAGCAGATTTCTTTCTTTCATCATCAGACCTTACTTATTTCTTAAGTTTTACCTAAAGAACGAACACACTGCTAAATTTCAAGCATTTCGATCATATCATTCAATCAAAATCAAGGCTCTCGGACGTATTTGTCATAAATCGATCAAATTTGCGGTGTTGCTTGCATATTTGCTTGCTCTTTTGAAAATAAAAGAATTGCAATAGCACTCAGGCATACCAAAACACCATATAATAGCATGATTTGCTTTTCATTATTTGGTGTAACCAAATATCACTTTTGCTTAGGAAACACTTGAACAAGCTAAACACAAGTCAAACTAGCACTCCTAATGCATTTTTCAGACCCACAACTCTAAAAAATCGATAATTAAATATACCCTATTTTCCGTAAATTTGATAGGTTGTAATGAAATACGAGCATACCTATTTCCGGAAAGCAAAAAATTCCTACACATAAACTTCAATAGATAAATATATATATCTTCCTGTAAATTATATCAAATCAAAATTACCGCATCTAATTTAATCG